TTTATTAATTAAATAATTAGATAGATATTAAGAATCCGCGTTAGTATAGTGGTTAGTATTCAAGCCTGTCACGTTTGAGGCCCGGGTTCAATTCCCGGACGCGGAGCTTTTTTTATTTTTTTCATTTAAATTCACTTTTAAATTAATATTTTAGGCATTTTTAGATTTATACTCATTTATTAATGTATCTATTTTAAACAAAATTAATATAATTATTAACTATCTAATTTTCTTATTTGATATTATATATATATATAATTTTTTTAATAAAATATTGATATCCAACAATAATTTATCGATAATAGTTCTTTAAAATCGAATCTCATATTTATATATTAGTGCTTAGCTAAGAAGCTTAAAATCGTTAAACAAAATAAATCATAATTTTATTAATATAAAACATGTTTCTGAGTTTTTTTTCATTATATCAACTCGAAGCAAAACTTTTATGAATATTTATGTATATTTGGAAGAAATAGATAAATATTCATATTGAAGTTAATATAAATAAATTAAGAAATAATATTGAACATTAAATACTTAAGATAATTATTTGAAGAATAAATGATACTTAAAACACTATGAATAATTTTTATTTAGAATTTACACATTTATGATTAATTATTATTTTTTTTAATATTTTTTGCCTCAAGGATTTGCTTATTAAAAAGAACTATAATTTATTTAGATATATACTTGATCTATTTCAATAATAAAGTGAAAAATCGAGAAAAAATTTTATATTTATTAATTATAATGAATGATACGAGGGAAAATGAAACTCATGAAGAGGCCCATAATCAATTTGAGTCAGAAATTCTTAGATATCTCTGCGATTAATTAAAGTTAGAATAATTGACTGATCCACAATTGAAATAAATTATTTATGAAGACTTAAAGAAAAAACAGATGTTCTCGTAATGCTCTATAGACTCTGATATTGAGACATAAGATAGTTTTTCTTCCTCTACAACTCACAGATATTCCCTCTAATTAACTAGATCTCCGCTCATTCTCAAAAGATTAAGCGTTCCTATCACATTGTAAATTTGATGTTAATTGTGTGTTCCATTTATTTATGTACATTCATTATTTATTCTAATTTTGAACCTTAATTTTAATACAAAACTAACAATCATCAAAAGAATTTTCAGTATTATATTTTTCTTTTTATATCAAGGGTTATTCATCATTCTAGAAATAAAGTATCAATTTATGATTTTTAGATGTGATAACAAGAATATTTTTTTTAATTGAATGCTTTCGTGTATACATCATTCATTAGATTTAATCATTTTGTTCAATCATCAAGCATTTTTGATCAAAAATTTACTACTTTAATGAAAAATTATTAAATCAAAGAACAGATTCATGATTTATTTTCCTAGTGTTTTTCATATCAAAAATATAACATCATAGTTTTGTAAAATAAAGTTTAAGTAAATTATATTATATTCATTTAAGGGGAAAAAATCCTCTTTAAGAAAAAATTGATATGGCTTTTTTTGAATAAAATTTTAACCTAGACAACTATTTAACTAAATATAATCAATTTTAATTTTATTGTCATTTGTTGTTTCATTTGTTTTAATTTTAAAAAATTTTCTTTATAGTATGAAAAATTATCATTAAATAAATTATTTTATTGAAAATTAATAAATAGTCTAAGTTACTTTAGTTATTTATCATCAAATGAGCTGAAATTATTTTTGGAAAAAGTTTAAAATAATCACTCGAAAAGTAAGGAGCAAAATTAAATCTCCATTTAATGATTTAACATAGTATTAATCATTTAATTTTGTCTTTACTTGTAATTTATTCCTTACTGATATTATAATTTGATTGGAATTTAGTGCAGTATAATTTTTTTGGATTAATTTTTGAAGGATATCTATACTTAAAACGCAATCTGAAGGTCAGTTAAATAAAAATATATGTTATTTTTAATAATTTTAAATTATAGGAGTTCGAAAATTTTAAGAATACATCTCATAATTTATTCAATATATAGATTTTAATTTTCTTAAACATTCATCTAGCACCTAATGAAAATTCTCTTTCTTAGCTATATTAAATAAATAATTTAAATACTTTAGTGCTCTAATTCAGCATTTCTTAATTCAGTATATTTTTTAATTTATGAATTCATAAAATTTTGTAATTGAGCCCTGCAATCCAAACTATTATCACTAAATTAAACTAAGCATTCAAATTGCAATTTAAATCCTTCAGTTTTGATTAATTAATGCAATTCTTCTTTGGTAATATTGTTTTCGTTAAATTAACTACATAATTGTACTATTCTTTGCGAGTTTTATAAAGCTCTATTTATTCTTTCTTTTTTGGATAATTATTGCGTAGGAGGCTCTATAACTTATGAAACTGTTCTTTTTTTTCTTAAATCTTCTGAAGGTTTAATACTTTCTCTGCTTTCAGTTTTTTATATTGTTTTTGGTTTTGATTATTTTTATTTTTAATATCTAAAGTCTAATTTATTAGTGAGAGTTTCATTTTCAGAACTTTTTGTTGTTTCAAAACTCTAAAAATTCTATTTTAATTACAGCGGAGGAAAAATGCTCTTTGGACTTTTTTATTTATTTTTATTTGAGCTTGGTTAAAGTTATAATGATCTAATATGCAACAGTTTGTCATTTTTAAGTATATCAACCATTTCATCAATTGTATATTTATTTAAATCTAAAGGTTGTTGAACTCCTTCTTTTTCCTATTTTTATTTAAGTTTTTTGGCAATTCTTTCAATTTATTCTTATAATGATCTTGAGCTTGTGCATTTCGTCAATGATTGTTAATAACAAGAAACAGTGCTTTAAAATCTATTAGTGATTCCTTGATTAAAATGATTTTTGGGCAATATACCATTTAATTTGAGTTATTCTTATTAATTGACAATCAGAAGTGGGTTTTGATTTTCTTTATTTACTTTGGATTATTAATTAACAAGCATTATGTTTTGTTTCCGTTAACAAATTTTATTAATAATATTTTCGTGAATTATTCTGATAGAATAAATAAAACATATTAATCATTCAATTAAAATATATATATATGAAAAATTTAGTTAAAGGATCCTAATTTCATAATTTTTGATTTACTAATGAATTGAAATATTATTAATTTAAAAATATTCTCTTCTTTCATTAAGTTAATCAAATTTATTAATATAATTTTAATAATTAAGTGATATATAGTCCTCTAACAAAAAAATTGATGCGAGATTAAATATAAAATAAAAGAAACTAGTATAAAAATTAAGAAAGACTATAGGCATTTACTAAAGTTGAGAGATTTTATAATTAATGATATTAAGATCCATAATCTTATATATGGATGTATATTGATACAAAAAGTACCAGCAGAAAAATAATTTAGAATAAGAAAATTGATATTCATTTGGTAGGTGCTAATGTTGTTCCTTAAGTCGAGTAATGTAGAATTGAAAGCAATTAAGTTCCTCGTGTAGTTAGGTTTTAGGTAATAAAGTTAGCATTTTTATGAATGAAATCAAACCAATTTAATAAGAATAGAATTAGTATGAGATGAACCTTAAAATTTAATAACAATTGATAATAATATTACACATTGTGTATTGACTAAAGTATTTGAACAATAAATATGTGATGGTATATTAAATCATACTAACTATTTCTGGTAATTAAAAAAATGGAATTTATTGTATGGAAAAAATAATATACTAGAATTAAATTCAATATTGTTAAAGCAAACTACTTCAAATCTATTTTATTAAAGTATTTATTCTCATAATATGTATATATATAAAAATAATTAATATCAAAGTACTTTTTTGGATTATTTTTCTTCTATTTTTTTTTTTTCAGCTAATTTAATTTGGGAGAGAAATGATCTAATTTCTTATTCTTATTATGATATTCTATCTAATTTTGGAATATATTTTTAGGAATACTTTTCCAAATACTGTAGATATTTTTAATTTTACGGACTTTTAGAACCTATCAATTCTTTTTTAAATGCTGAATGACTTCTTTCTATTTTTAATTATTCTTTTTTTTAAACTTCTATAAAACTTTCATCATTTTAGGTCTAAGATAAAACTTAAAAATATACTTAAGCACGAATATTCAATAATTCTTATCGATTTAATTCATGATTTTATAAAACCTGATTCCTTAGGTTTTATCGATTTTATAAAAACTCATATTTTTTATTTTTAAATTTTAATCTACTAATGTCTCTTTAAATCATTTCTAATTCTTTTTTTAATGATGTAATATCATTAAATAGTCCTCCAGAAATATTAGATAAATTTGATTTTTTCTAATAATTATTTTTTTTGTTAAAATCTTTAAAGGACTTATCTTAACTTTTGCAAAAAGATAGATTTGTTTGAGATTTTGAATTTTAATTTGAATTTTCAAGAAATCTTCTTAAATTATATAATGAAGAATTATTTTGACGATTCTCTAATTAATAATTTTTAGTCGATCTAATTGGTGAATCTAATACATATTATCTGGTTTCAGTAGTTTTTAATTCTAAACTTTAATTCTTTTATTTTAAAATTTTTTGTTATTCTGATTATGATTCTTATGTTACCTACAATATAGCTACTTCATCAACCTCATTCTCATCATTTTATTTCTTTTTGCATGCATTATTTAATTATTCCATTTGTATTGAATTTTTTTTTTATTCAACTTTCACTATTTTACTTAAAATCCCTTTTGCTACATCTGCAAAAACTGTAACTTAATTATCTTTATTAATTTTATCAAATTCATCAAGCCAATATTAACATTTTTCTATTTACTTTTTACTTAATTGATTAACGTTCAATGAAGTTAATTAATCCACTATCTATTCATAATTATTTAACAATCTCTGTATTCTAAACCAGAAATCACTTTATTCACCTAATAAATTAAAAATTGCAAATAATTGATATTATATTTGTAAAGATGGTCTTAATTGATATTTAATTTTAGATAGTAAAGGTTTGGGAATATTTGTTAATTTATTTCTAATCAAATTCCTATCAATTGGAGATCTTTCTCTAAATGAAATTTATTTTAGAGACTTATGAGAAAGAGGAGGATAAATACAAGGGCATTTTGGTTCCACACACATTTGCAAATAATTCTTATTTCAAAATAATTAATAACAATCTATAAGTTAAATTTTTATTAACAAAAATTTAGAATCAATAAATTCAATTAATTTTTCTTTTTAATATTTAGTAAACAACAAAAATTTTCCATTAAAATTTAATGATAAGGACAATTTTGAAAATAATATTTTTTTGTTTTAATGAATAAAAAAAATTTAGGAAAATATATTTTAAAAAGATAAAAACATAAAGATTAATGATTAATAATTAGAGAATGACTCAATCTCTGGGTTTTATTAATTAAATAATTAGATAGATATTAAGAATCCGCGTTAGTATAGTGGTTAGTATTCAAGCCTGTCACGTTTGAGGCCCGGGTTCAATTCCCGGACGCGGAGCTTTTTTTATTTTTTTCATTTAAATTCACTTTTAAATTATCATTATTTATTTACTTTCCTTTAGAATTTTTGTATATTAATTAATTTTTAAATTGCTTATTTAAATTAGATCATTCTCTCTTTATTTATAATATTATAATTAAATAATTATGAAAATTAAAATATGTTTATTTTCTAAAAAGAAGTTTTTATAACAAACATTAAAGTCTTTCAAAATTAATAATAATATTAATGATTGAGTTGACTTTTATTTAAATTTATAGTATCTATAATAAGAATTTTTACAAAAAAGACATCATTATATATTTAATTGATCCTTTTGATACCTTTTAAGAATTAATCTAAAAAAAATTAACATAGAGAAACTTAAAATTAAAATTATATCAAGATTATTTTTATGAATATAAATTAATTAGACATTTCTTTCAATATATTAGAAGAAAACGATGACTTAAAAATTATTTAATATTAGGTTCATTTAAATGGAAATATTTATAAGTTAGATGACATAGTATTTGCCAATAATTTTGGTTAAATAAAGAATTATTCTGAAAATTTATCTTAGAAAGAATTTTTAGCCTTTATTGTAAATCGAAGCAAAATTATTCCAATAAACCTTTTTAAAATATGTGTATCAAATCTAATAATAAATAATGAAAAATATAATTGCTTTAAAATTATTGATGAACAATAGCAAAAATTACATGATTTAATATTAAAAGCAAATTAAGAATCCATTTAAGAATGTTACTAGATATTGAATGTATTTTAGTCTTAACTACAAAAAATCGTATATTTACATCAAATAGTGATGGTTGATACTTTTACAAAAGTAGAATAAAGAATTCAATTTTTATAAGATTGTATAGACTTTCTATCAAAATATAAGAATTAAGAGGAATCTCATATAAGCAAATACATTAGAGAGAAAAAATTATTTGCTTTAAATGATCTTTTTAGACTCTAGTCAAGTCTATTAAGAAAAGATTTATGTTAAACAACTCTTTTTTAATTGCAATAGTAATCTGCTTTTCTAGAAAACCTAGATATTCAAACGAGAATAATCAGATTATAATTAGATTTTAATTAGGCAGAGTATATTTACTCTTTAAACAAAAAGGTTTAAATTAATATGTAAAATATTTCAGGAATTTTATAAACTTTAAAACTAGTGGATATATATGATATAAACAAGAAATTACATTAAGTACCTGTAATTCTATAAAATGATTCAGAAGTGATCTTTTAAATTAATGATTATTTAATAAAAATAATGTAGATCCTATTTGGAAGTTTATAACTCTAAGAGAATTCACTATTAGGAGAATTGCTTTAGCAATATAAACAATATTTTACAGCTGTTTGTAATTTATAAATTCGCTATACTTACCATATTTGTTTAAGTCTTACTTTGTAAAAGCAAGAGGCATTAGAAAATAGTTTAAAGGCATTTTAATTGGCATTAGAGATTAATGACATAAACGATATAATTGAGATATTTATAAATACTTAACTTTTATATATAGAAACTGATTAAGAGATAGAAGGATTGAAATTTAGCTAATAATTTATTAACAATTTTGGAAGTTCAAGTATGTTTAATATTATTTTTAATATTTAGAATTGAAACTAAATCATAAAGCTGAATATAAATAAATATAAGATAACATGACTTATATGATGGTGAAGTAAAAACTTAATGATTGATTTATATGCTAACAATACATTAAATTTATTTAGAATACATTTTTTTAATTTATTGATTGAAATAATAACAAGTTAATTAGCTATATTAATATTATTAAAAGAATTTACTCTAAGAACCTTATATTATATTCTACTTTAATTCTGTTATCAAAAACATGTACAGAGAGTAGATAAGGTATCTCAATAAGAAAAAGTAGAAAATAAAATTATTGATTAAAAATGATACATTATATTTTTATTTTTATAGTTATAGATTAGGATTAATGAGCATTTTGCAAGAAAGGGAGGATATTAATAATCCATATAGTTCTGAGTATTAATCAATAGCTCGTATTCCATCTTAACCTTCTGTTGCAAATTGGAGAAGATATACTTTTACCATAAAGGAAAAACAATATTTTTACTAAGGGCCATTAAATGAGGAGACAGAAGAATTAATATAAGTTTTGTAAAATTATGAGAATTTGGATAATGACACTGCAAAAAATTTTTATAGATCCCTTTCTAAATTATGTTTAGATTGTGATAGAAAATTCTATAAATCATGGAGCTGCTTTAATTAACGGTTGAAATTTGATACTAATTAAATTATAATTACGATAGTATATTGGAGTGCATATTTTAGTGTCCTTTCAGAATCATTAGTATTTTATATTTTTAAATTTAGGAATTAAATAATGATTCGAATGTAATGTAAGATCAGTTAAAGAAAGATATTGTCAAATATTTACCTTTATATGCATTCTTGTTCACATTGTTCTCATAAATGTAAAAAAATAAAAATTATTTTTAATAGTTGTTAATAAATCAAAAATTTTTATATTTGGATTTTATTGTTTATATCTCTAATAATAATACCTTTATTGTTTTTAATTGGCTATCATTTTAATTTTTTTGAATGGAATAGCTCACCTTCTTATGATTATATAGGAATAGGATTTTGCATATTAAGTTTTCTCATATTTATAAATTCTCTATTTAATATAGGTTTTCATTCAATAATCTCTCAATTAAGTTCAAAATTGATAGCTACTTTATTTAATTGCAGTTTCTGTATTCTCGTGATATATTTTATACTTTTTAAAATAATAGTTTTTATCCTATAGCTTAATACAAATAAAATTGAATATATAATAGAGAAAATATCAGATTTGATTGCTCCACAATTGTTTATAATAATGTTAATTTACTCGATATTATTAATTAAAGCATTATTTACTACAAGTCCTGAACAAATTGAAAATGACTTAAAATTATTATCACTGAATAATTAACCAAATTCAGAAATAAAAAAGAGATATTATAGTTATATATTAAATAAAAAAGCAATTAATTTAATTAAAACATTAAAACTAACAACAGTTGCACCAATATTAATAACAATAAGTTATTTAACTCTCGAAATCTATTTTTATTCAGCATGGCTTTATTTTAAATCAATATAGAATTATGAATTAACAATAACATATGGATGTTTATTTATAGCAATACCTATATTTATGTCTTTTGGAGTTTGTTTAGCTAATTCTAATGTAAATCCACTAAACTTATATTTATATAGTTCACTATTATTAGGTTCATGTTTCAGTATTCTAACAATTAAAGTTTGGAACTTAACATATGATACTTAATATTTCAAATCAATTACTAGATTATTTGGCATATGTCCTTTAATAATAACTTTGATATGGTTGACAATTGCATATTTTCGATCATGGAGGAGGAATTAAAAAATGTTAGTTTTAACAATCTCTTGTTATTTTTTTGCATTTCCTATTGGAATATTAATAACATTATCTTAAGCACTTGATGATTCTTCAATTTATACTGCTTTTGTTGTATTGATTATCATAGGATGTGTTCCAATAGCAGTGTTTATAATATATTATTTTATTATAGTTATGATTTATATAGTCAAATTACCTCAATAAGCTTTAAATTTAAATTTTGTTGCATTTCAATATGTAAATTTAACTAATTTAGCAATCTGGTTTAATTCAATGTTCTATATAGTAGGATTTTATTTTACATGTTACTTTGTTTGGAATGAACCTGTTACGGCTACTGGTACAAAAAAAGGAGCTGTAATTATTATTTTATTATTAAAGCTATAAGGTCTTCTTGTTATTTAAACAGTCTTATTTATTTTAACAAAAAAAGCTTTGGAAATTAAAATACATGATAATTCAAGTGATTAGAGAGGAGAATAATAAAAATTATTAGAAAGAATTGACAATTTAATTAGAAGTGGAATATTTTATTCATTTGTGATATTCTTGCCTATTGGATTAAGTTTAGATGATGAAACAACTAAAAATGCTTTAATTTCTATTGCTGTAGGTTTACCAATAACTTTTATCTATTTTAATTTTTTGATATATTTGAAAAAAGAGCTGAATGAATTTTAAGATTTTCTTTAGCCTTTGATTATCATACTTATGGAGATTTTTATTATTGCACCAATAGGAATAATATTTCCAATATTGGCTGATATTTATGAAAATTCTTCATATTAATTTGCAGTATTTGCATAATTAGCTGTAGCTTATACAATTTTAATAACAATTATAATAAATACTTGCATATCAAATATTTATTCTGTTTTATTGAATAAAGAATAATTAGAAATGAAAAAGAAGGAAGTACTTAAAATTATAATGTAACTTTTGGCTAATCACAAAGTGTAATCAACAGAAGAGATTTGTACATTAATATTTTTAAGGTATATTCAACAAAATAATCCAATAAAATTAAAAAATGATTTGAAATAGGGGGATCCTGTGAATGTTTATGATTATCCAGGAGTAGATAAAGGTAGAATGTTTGAAGAACAATTAGTGTCTAAATTAGAGTATGAAAATAAAAAAAAATTAGAACAAATATCTAAATAATAAAAGGGAGTTAATAATAGTCTTTTAGATGAAACTGATGAATTCAAAAAATCTACATTAAATAATGATGATGATTAATCTAATAATTTTAGTAATAGAATATTAGATTCTGTTTTTGAATGTGTATTTTGTAAATGTGGTTTGGAAGAAATAGAAGAAATTGAAAAAAATAAATAATAATTAGATGTAGAATTATTAGAATTAGATAATTGGAAAGAAACGAAATCTAAATAAATTTAAGGAATTGCTTAACCTAATGAAGCTGATCTAAGATCTGCTAGCGATTTAGATTTTTATACTGCATTAAGAACTAAATATAAAGATAGAACTGAAAGATTTTGGGCTGCCATATATAGTAAGTTTAGAAATAATTTAAATGTTGTTTTAGATTATTTAGATTTAGAAAGAAATGATGATATTTTAAAATAATACAAAAGTTTTAAGGTTATTGAAGAAGATAATAATTTTACTATGTCATAGAATGATTTTGCACTTTTTCTTTATGATAATTTCTAAAGAGATGATTAGACAAATTATTATAATTTAATTTGGGAAATGGCAGTCAAAAAGTATTATTTATTTGTTTATAATTATAATGATATAAGATAAATTTTAAAATTACTCTAAAATAATAATAATACACCATTTCATTAAAAAAATTTTTAAATTCCTTCTGATTCTAAGGGATAAATAAGAAAAAAATTAGGAAAAAAAGAAAGAATACAAAGTAACAATTAAATTGATTTACAATATTAATAAAAAAAATAAAATATTGAGAGAGCTTTTTAATAAAAAATTCCAAAAAATTTTAAAGTTAAATTTTGGCAATGTTGTTAAAAAATTAATCAAATCTTTTGGGTTAAACCTAGAGTTTATTCTTAATAACTTGTAAATTAATTAGTAAATTCATTATTTTAAAAAATAACCCCACCTGAACCAGAATAAGATAAGATAAAATTAAATGTAAAATGGGAATAATTAGCTGAAGAGGTTGGAAATTGTTTGGTTGAATAATGTAATAAATTTGATAAGAAAATAAAAGATTAAGAATTTATATTTAAATTTACATCTACTAATATATTAGCTGTTTTTTTGAGAATTTATGATTTATATGGTTTAGCCACTCTAGCATTTGATTCATAAGTAGGATGGTTTGGAAATTCATAAACTTTTAATCCAATAAAAATGGTTGATTATTCAGCAATTTGGAGTGAATATAATTTATTTTTCTTTTTAGCTCTTTTTTTTAGCTTAATTTATATTATTTTGGGAGTTGAGGCAGCAAAATAAATAGCTAATAATACATTTGGATTTGATGAAAATGGAATTATTGCAACCTATAAAAGTAAAAGATATTGGATAAGTAAAACAATATAAATTATAAGTGGATAATTTCTTTTTGTTATGAAAAGTTATATAGACGCTTTCATTTGTGATTATAGTTCATATCCTTATACATTGGTAAGATACCCTAGTGTTGAATGCATGAGCGATTTCCATTTTATGTATGTTAGTTTAGCAATATTTGGATGTATTATTTATTACCCACTATCTTCATATTTATAACCTACATTTTAATATATGGATCACTCTTTAGATTTAAAATACAAATCTAATTATGCTGTTTTATATATTTAGGCTAAATTATTAGTGTTAGGTATGACTACTGTGTTTTCAAATCTATAAGAGTAAGCATATTAATATTAAATGCTTTTTTCAAGTATTGTAATCCTGATCCTTATATATTTCCATATTAGAATATAACCATGTTATGTGAAATGGTTTAATAAAATAGAATTATGTATTTTATCATTACTATTTTATGTATTTATTCTTTAATCTATTTAGATGTATATTGGAGCATTTGTTATCTTAGCAACAGGATTAATAATTACAGGATGGTTAATTTTAGTATGCTTAGGTGGAATAACATTAATTTTTACAATAATTTAACTAATAAGATATTATAATGAAGCTAAATAAATATAATCCACTAAAGTTCAACCAATTATTGAAGCAACTGAATAGTCTTAAATTATGAAAAAATGAATATTTTTATTAATTATAAAAACCTAAAAAAAATTTAATACAATAAATCACCGGTCATTTTAAAAATTTTTTATCTGTTCTGGGTTTTATTAATTAAATAATTAGATAGATATTAAGAATCCGCGTTAGTATAGTGGTTAGTATTCAAGCCTGTCACGTTTGAGGCCCGGGTTCAATTCCCGGACGCGGAGCTTTTTTTATTTTTTTCATTTAAATTCACTTTTAAATTATCATTATTTATTTACTTTCCTTTAGAATTTTTGTATATTAATTAATTTTTAAATTGCTTATTTAAAATAAAAATATAGAGACATTTAATAGTTATTTTGAATCTAATATATTTTTCTTCAATATATTATTATATAATAAAATTACAGACAATAGAATGAGTCACATTTAGAATTGATTAAAATCAAAAGAAATTCATAAAAAACCTTCTCATTCATGCTTCTGCTCATCAATTCATTAAATTATATTTTATGAATCTAACCATATTAATCAAAATATAATTTAAATATGTATAATTATAGTATAATAGTGTAAATATTTTAAATAAATATATGCCTATAGATAATATTGATTAAATGCATTTTTATGAATAAATGATCAATATTGTTAACTTAATTGCTATTATAATCTCTCATTCTCAGATTATAAAAGGGCAATTGTATTTTATAATTATTCTTATTAACTTGTTTACTATTATAATCTCTAATTCTCAGATTATAAAAGGGCAATCATGTTTTATAATTGTTAAATTTTCTCTTATTAATTTGCAACAGTTCTCTATAATTCACTCTAAAATAATATAATTAATTACTATTTTTAATTCGTCTTAAGGATCTGATTAAATTATCTACTATTGTTATTATTATTATGGTTTTGGTTATTAGACAAATACAACATTTTATTATTGTTATTATTATTGTTCTTATTAATCTGGTCTAAGGCTTATTAAGACTTGGTTTGCATTTTATCCTGAAAAGAATTGAGCTGCAGACTAAATGATAAATAGAAATTGAATTTACTTATGCTGGTTAAGTTCCTGGACATGGAGGATAAAGATCTTCTTAAAATGTATTAGCTTTTCTTGGAGCAATGAATGAAATAAATGATAAAGCATTCTCTTCAATTTTAGCTGCTCTATTAACTTCACAATTGTTCACATCTAAAGCTCTTTTTGGGAAGAATGAATAACTTTTTCCAGGTTTAGTTGATGTATATTGATTTAAGAAATGTAATTAACCATCAACAAATTCAAAATATTTAATGCCAGAATCTCCCTTACCTGTCAAATAAAGAACTTTAAGTTATTCATCCCAATATGGATATAGTACTCCACTACCTGAATCAATTTAAGTTGTATGAACAGGTTCTGATGTATTGTTCAAATTCCATAAGGAGAATTCTCTTCCTTAAGTTTTATTAAATCCAACACTAAGAAAATATCCAGTAGATCCCAGCCAGGCAAATCTTTAAGGTTTTGTACCTTAATGGGAATTTAATTCTTAGGATATGGTTGATTATCTTGGATCAATAATTTTTAATTTCTTATCATTCCAAGAAGATCCAATTAATGAACCATTAATATTCCAATCAATTGAATATGGTAAAGCATTAGCATATACAGTATTTTGAGCAGCACCAGCTTAAACATCCCAAACTTTAACAGTTTAATCATGAGCAGCTGATCCTAAAACCCATGCTGAAGTTGGATTCCATTATATTTAGTTTACCTAATCAATTAATAAATAAAAATACTTTTTTATCATGTCCAGATAATGTAGTCTCAGCCTCAGTGATATCAGATACCAAATCATTGATTTTCCAAATACATATGTTTTGATCTTAAGATGAGGTAGCCAAATATTCGTCATCAAAAGGATACCAATCCAAATCCAATATTGTACCTGAATAATCTATATTATTTAATACTTTAATGTCCTTTTATCATAGGTGTATCAAAAGGAAGCTTAGTTGGTTTGTCAGATTTTACCACACAGACAAGTCCACCTCCACCTGTTTACCAAAGAAGAGCAGTGTATAAACCATTAGCCTTAATATTTTTATAAATATTACCTTCACCATTGTTGAGTCACAAGTAATGCTTGTTGGAGTCACTTACTCAAACTTTGATTTCATTTCTTCACCAAAAAGATGTTTAAATCTTAAAGCCTTCATTAAATATCTTTATATATATTTATTTATTAATAAAACATGGTATTAAGATTTCTAATAAACACAAAAATCATTAGTACTTATTAAATAATCAATATTAAAAGTTATGATAATTAAACTCAATGATTTTCTTTATACTAAATCTTCAAAAAATATTCTTTCTTTATTTTTATAGAATTTTATTATTATTATATAGATCAAACCAATTATTTTTAAAAAATTGAATCATTTTTAATACTAATTGTGATCTATTCGATTTGGATCTAAGAAATTTATAATATTAATTTAATAAAATAGAAAACAATCGATAAAATAATAGAAAATGAGTAAAACCTCAAGTAATAAAGAATTATTGTATAAAATAATTGATAGTTTATTAATTAGTTTTCTAAAATAAGGAAACATTAATTAAATGTAAATCAAATTATAATAAGAAATTTAAACAATTGTTAAGAATGACGTTGATGGGCATATAAAAGGGTTGATTTAAATTAAGGAAAAATATAATTAATATTTTAATTGTGTTAAAGGAAAATGCAACAGGAGGAAAACAATAAATAGCAAACTAAAAAAGCAAAATTTAATTTACCAAAGGGTCATTTTCTTTTTACATCAGAAAGTGTAAGTGCAGGTCATCCAGATAAATTATGTGATTTTATTAGTGACAGTGTATTGGATGCATGTTTAGAATAAGATCCAAACTCGAAAGTTGCTTGTGAATCAGCATGTAAAAACTCTCTTGTAATGGTATTTGGTGAGATTACAACTCATGCTTAAGTACCTTATGAGACTATTGTGAGAGAAGCAATAAAATAAGTTGGCTATGATAATATAAGTATTTATAGAATAGTTATATATAAGATAAGGGATTGGATTATAGAAATGCATCAGTAATAGTATCATTAGATTAATAATCATAAGAGATAAATTAAGCAGTAGTAGGAGCAAAACATGAGGATGAAATTGGTGCAGGTGATTAAGGATTAATGATTGGATATGCTTCTGATGAGACCCCTGAATTAATGCCATTAACACATCATTTATGCAATAGATTGATTTCAAGACTTTAGGAATGTAGAACAAGTGAAATATGTCCATGGATGAGACCAGATGCAAAAGTGTAGGTGACAATAGAATATAAAAGAGAAGATTCTTCATTTCATCCTGTAAGGATTCATAACGTATTAATTTCTTAATAACATGATGAAAAAATAAGTCATAGTGAGATAGAAACAGAATTACATGAACATGTGTTAAAGTATCTAAAAATATTCTATTGATTTTAGACATGTATTACCATAAAAATATGTTGATGAATAAACTAAATATCATTTAAATCCATCTAAAGCATTTACTGTAGGAGGTCCATATGGTGATGCTGGATTAACAGGACGTAAAATAATAGTAGATACTTATGGTGGATGGGGTGGTCATGGAGGAGGAGCTTTCTCTGGTAAAGACCCTACTAAGGTTGATAGAAGTGCTGCTTATGCTGCTAGATGGGTAGCTAAATCACTTGTAGCATCTAAATTATGCAAAAGAGTTATGATCTAAGTTGCTTATGGAATTGGAATTAGTGAACCATTATCTATATGTGTCAATTCTTATGGAACTAGTACAGAAGGACTTGATGATGATGATTTATCTGATATTGTCTAACATAATTTTGATCTTAGACCTGGTGTTATTATTAGAGAATTAAAATTAAGAAGACCAATCTATGCTAAAACTGCCTCAGGAGGACATTTTGGTAGAAATGAACCTGAATTCACTTGGGAATAACCTAAAATTATCAATTTATCTGCTTGGAAAACTCACAAAGCAGAATAATAATAACAAAATTTATGATAAAATCAACACATTTTTATTATAAAATTAATAAATATCTATATTTTAAATTATTCTATTCTATTTAATCTCTTTTTTACAAATTTTTTAACATTTTTTACATTTATATCAAATTTATACCATTTTAACTTAAATTCTTCAATTATAATATATATCAAATCTAAATCATTGTATATTCTTAAATATAATTATATTATTTATTATATATTTTTACTATAAAAAACTAGAATACACCTACAATTATTATCTATAGGTTATCTTTTGTTCTAATTAATATTTAAAATATATAATTTTTGAGTTATTTTAATTTCTCATCATTGTTATTATTTTAATCTCATATTCTTGTTTTAATATTAATTTATATCGATTTGTTGATATTCAGTTTGTAATTATTCTTTTCAAATATCCATATTATTAAAGGAATTAATATAAATAATTTCAATTTTCTAAGTTGTCAAATAGAAAATAATTATAAATATTGAAAATACAATAAAAAATTGATGACTTAGAAGAGATAATCTAATATTTATAAAACATCTTTTGTATTGAATTAAAATACACTGTTATTTTAACATAAAAATAAATTTTATCAATAATGCTGTTGCAATAATCTAGAAAGAATGTAGCCTAAGCATAATAATAAACAGCTTCATCTCATACAATAAAGATGATTTCTGAAAAATGGAGAAGAATATCATCAGAAGTTGATAATCAAAAAGCAAACAGACTATAGCAACTTCAAGAAAAAATGAAATAAATCGAAAAACAAGCATTAACGGTTAATAATAGCGAAATCAAATAATTATAAGATTCAATAAATACTTTGAACCAAAATGTTTAGGAGCATTTGACTCAAGAATATAATCATAAATCATCAAAAGCATATGAAAACATTAAGAATACTTTAGATAAGAGTCTACAACAGTAAAATTAATAAACATAGGATATGGAGAAAAGGGTTGATCATCTACTTGATTGGAACCATCTTTAAGATTAGATATCAAGAAATGAATCTCAATATGATTTTGATATTCAGAATAAATTATAAATGATAGCTGATTCATTTAATTAGATTGAAGATGTTCTAGAAACAGAAAGAGAACAAAGGTAAATGAATATTATGACTAGTAGAATTCAATCCTTTGAGTAAATAGAGGGTGAATTAGAACAAAATCTATTTTAACTTAAAAACTATATATCTTCTGAATCTAGTCTTAGAAGACAAAAGGAAAATAAAATATTTGATATGATAAATGATGTGCATTAGAACTTGTCCTTAATGTTGTAAGATGAGAAGAAAGAAAGATAAATTATGACTAATAATTTAATGTAATTGATGGATGATGCATGTATTAGAATTGATAGAAGTCTAAGTTCATTTTGATAATTTTATATTTTAATTAATGGCATAATCTTTAAGTTCTTAATTAGGATAATTACAACATCAACAAAAACAATATGCTTCACTTCTCTATACATAATAAGTGAGTGCTTAGACAGATTTAGATACAATCTATTATTAAGGTTGTAAAGGTATCAATAAATTAACATAAATTGATAATCGATTCTCTAGATTCTAAGAGTCTTTATTCAATGTTTAACACAAAGGTTTATCAATTATAATTATTTGTAGGTATATCAAGACAGTTATAAACAAAAATACAGAATTCTGATTTAGATAAAGAGATTAGATAATGTTTGTTATTAATGTCTTAATATTGGACTTTCGAGGGTACACATGCATCAATGGAATATCTATTAAGAAACTATAAGATTCATGAATATTTAGTAGATGAAGTTATTATCTATTTCTTAGTTTATCATAACACTAAGTTATATGTTAGATTATTATAAAACTTAGTAGATTAATAAAGGTATCTCTTTATTTATAATTTAGAAATTCCATGTGGGCATTCTTGTATGAACCAATTAGTAGAGGTTAAACTATTTAAAGAGATCTCCTTATTAGATAAATGTAACTAGATTATAGAATCCTAAAGAAAATTATAGATTATTAATCTTTGTTACTCTCTAAAGTTGAAGTACAGGAAGAAATTGTTTTTACAGTCTAAGATTACTTATATACAGAAGAAGAAATTTTAAATATTAAATTAAGATAACCAAATTAATTAGCATTTCTTTATACCATTTTGTAAGACTTAAAAGTTACATCCGGATATATGGATTAATTAAGAAGTTCTTTTGGTAAATTATTAGCTTTATGTCTTGAAAATGGTAATGATGAAAATAAATCATTTGCATATCTTATATTTAATCTACAATTATTTGATCCAACTAAAGTTTTGTTAACCGAAAATCAAATTGAAAATACAGCTTAATGGACTTATGTCTAAATTTAAAATAATGATAACCTTTTAGATCTAGCCATATTATTTTATTAATTTGGCATCAAAACTACTTATGAAACTTCATTAAAATTATTAAGTAAAGATCTATCCAAATATTTTAATAATGGTTTACTTTTAATTGAAATCATTAAATAATTAAAGGATACTTAAATACCAGAAAAACCATTACATTAATTAATATTTTATTTGAAACATCTCTTAACAAAAAATGACAATCATTTCTTAGATTCGCTTGTTTCTATTATGCATGATTAAATTATATCTGTTGTTAGACCTTATCTTTAAGATACTTAATATAAACACTTATTTCCTAAATCTAACCAAATCAATTTAACATTTAATAATTCTGAAAATGTTATTAAATAATTAACTTAGAAAGAGCCTGATCTTTCTATTGGAACATTAGTTAATATTATTGAGGATTCATTTCACTACTTTATAAAATCTAAAAAGATTTAATTTATTAAAATTTTAAATCAATGTTTGCAAATTGCAGAAACTCAATTTCCACAAGCAATTATGTTTAATACAAATAAACTCTATTAATTAATAAATTGTATTTCAGATCAAAGTGATAATAGAGAAATTTTTTAAAATCTCTAATATATACTTTATTATACTCATTCTAAATAAGTTGACTCAAACATACTTGAATCATTATTGCTGCTTAGTGTACATTTTAAAATTGATATAATCAATGAATTAATAAAATAACATTAAGTTATTAAGCAAGTTTAAAATAAAGAATAACTATTAAGATTAATTAAATAATCAGATGAATTATTAATTAAATCAATTTTATAAAATAATCATAATTCCTAATTGATTATTTATAAACAATTATAAATTGAATTATGTTACATATTATAAGAAGAATAAAGATTATAAAACTTTATTAATTTATATCCAGAAGATGATTAATATATTGCTAAAATGATGCAATCATTATAAATCATTTAATTATTAAATTTAGAAAATCCTCTCAGTATCAAATATTTAAAGTCCATCGATATTGATCCTGAAATATTTTTTAATAATGATTTAAATCATATTGGAACTTTGAAGGTATTATTACATTAATCAAGTCGAAATCTAAACTTTGTATTTAAGCTATTTTTAATTTATGATGATTTAAAGATTGATTAATAAGAACTTTATCTGTAATTATTAGCAGAATTAAAAGAAAATTTTAAAAATAATCTTAAAATTTAAAAGACTAACTTTTCATAATAACTTTTGTAATTAACTATTGGATAATTGATAAAAAATAGAAAAGAAGCCAATTTTACAAAAACTCTTGGAAATTTAAAAGATTAAGATGCTCTTTTAGAATTGTAAACTCTTTATTTAGAAAATTTTGATGATCTAAGATACCGATAATTAAAATCAATATGTAGTACATTAACTAAAACGAAGCAACAGATTAAATAAGATAAAATTACGACTCTTATTAAATTTATTGAGAATCATTTTAAGAATGATTTTATTTCAAGTTATCTTAATATTTTATAATATTATGGTAATATAAAGAATCGACAAGAATAATTAGACTTTACATTTCTTAAGAAAACTTTATTTAAATTGCCAAAGGATTATTGTGAAGTTATAAATGAATATATCAATTAAGCCAATATATTTAGTGCAGAATTAAGAACTTAGATGATAATTTTTGTTTACTCTAATAATTTAAAAAACAAACAAATAGTTGTCTAAGAGGATTTAGATTTTAATTTAATTATAAGCTTGTTAGAAACTCCTAACTTAGATATATTAACACATTTAGTTGATTTATTAAGAGCTAATATTTAACACATTAATATAGAATCAATAAGAAAATGCTTCAAGTTAAATATTGTTTAACCAACTCAAATCATTTTAATTTCTCAAATTATATATGATTATTTAGATCATCATTAAATTAATTTATTAGAAGAATGTTCTTCACTTTTAAAATAAGTGCTAGAATAAAATTTAGATCTAAGTTTATAAATTAATTATTCTGCAATTTCTAGTTGTATAAGATTAATTACGAAGCATACTTAAATAAATAAATGCAAATCTGCATTTCAATCTTTAACATATCCAGATATCAATACATATGGAAAGAATAATACTTTACTATTCTATCGTATTATAATTGAGTAATTTTAGAATCACAATATAAAATACTTTAATTAATGCATATTTGCTTTTTTTATATCTTAATTGATATCAATAACTTCCACTATGGATGTTAATTAATAGATTTTGTAGAATTTTGGACTGTTTTCTTAGGAATAATGGTGGATAATTACATATATTTTATCTACTTATTATTTTCCAAATGATTTTATTCAATTATTCAAAGAATAAATAAATAAATTTTCGCCTTAAATTAAATTAAATATTGCAACAGCTTTAGCGGAGTCTTTATTTTATAGAACATAAAGACATTAATAAATTTTATAAATTAAATTGAATCAAAAATTAACTCAACTTTAAACTCCTAATTTAGAGGCTTGCATTAAAAAAGTAGGTTAATCTTTAAGAGGATAATTGAAACCAATTAAAATAAAGCTTTCTCTTTTGAGATTATTAGAATTAGTTGAGGATTTGTAAAGATAATTATCAAATTATTTAATATAGAGTGATTTAAATTTATAGTAAGCAAGCTAATTAAAAAGTTTAATTGTTCATATATCTAAATTTTCTAATGTTTTTGGTCACTCAAAATTAAAAGCTTTAAGTGAAAGAATTAGAACATCTTTGATTCATTCAATGAAAATTGAAACATTAGTTCCTTTGATTAAGAATTGTATCTCAATTAAAAGTGTCTCACGTATACTTTTATAAGCTTTTAATGATATTTTAAGGTTAGATTTAATTAAAATTTAAAAACAACAAATATAATTAATAAGAGAATTAGTCTCATAGATAATTATTGAAATAAGTTTACCTACTCCAAATTTTTCAACAGAAATGCTTTTATTATTAAATTACTTGTATTCAATACCATTCATTCAAAAATAATTGCAATAATAAGGGTAAGAAATAATGTCAATTTTAATTAAACTAATTGATTCTTTAAATGAGTAAGATTAATCGTTGGTTTTAAATCTATATTCATTAATTTCATAGATTGACTAATACCCATATCTAAATGATTTAAATTAAGTTATTGATTTACTTATTAAACTTCTCTGTTAGGAAGAAAATATAATAAAATTAGATAATAATGAATTTATGTATAATAATGAACAAATAATTCATAAAGTTTCAAATAAACTTATTTTGATGAATACATCTTATGCTTTAATTAAATCATTCAAAGGATTAATAAGTAAATAACATTTGACTGAAATCTCAGTTTTATATTTGATAGAAAGTGATAAATAAGGCTTTTAATGCATTTTGGATAATATTGAAAACAGAGTTCATTTAGATGTATATATAAATAGTATTATAAATTAATCAATAAAATTAAAATCTTTTGTAGTTTTTAATTGTGTAGATAATTTAGCATAATTAATATAAAAATGCTAGTCAGAATTGATTTGTGAATAATATATGTAATTAAATAGGGAAATTTAATTAATTTTTGATTATTCAAGAGAATTATATATCGATTCTGAATAAAAAAATGGGATATTCGATGCTGATAAATTAGAATATTAAATAAATTAATCATATATTGAGATTGTATTAAAAATAAATGATGTTGCTTTTAAGAAATTATTTAGCAATTTAATTTCTTGGTCAAGAAAACAATTACAATAAGTTGGTTATAATTTTACTAAATATAGAAGAATATAATTTTTTAGACTATCAACTTAGATTAGTGATAAATTGGGTAAATACTTTACTAAATATTATTCATATATATGGGATGCTATAGTAAATGAATTACAAACATTCCATAATATTTTCTATGAAACTCCAAAATAAGCAAGTAAAATTATAATTTATATTTATAGAACTTTAAAAAAGAGCAAATGATGAATGTGATATGTTCTACAGATTAGAGCTACTTTTGAATAGACATATATTATAGTCAATAAGTTCTTTGTGTCAAAATGATTGTGAGTAATTTGTTGATACAGAAAAATTTGAAAAATTAAGTGAACCATTAGCATTAACATTGGATAGTCCAAAAGTTTAGTAATATGAATCAATCTTATAATATATTGATGAATGGATTACTCCAACTATTTTAGCCTTATTCTAATTAATTAATGATGATTATAAATGGAAGGATTTCCATTTAAAAATATTATCTGTTATAAGCAGACATTCTAATAAAAAGAATGAAACAAGTTCATTCATTATAATAGGAATAGTTAAGTTAATTCATAGATTAATTGATTAACTAGATGAAAGATATCTTGTATTGATGAACGATTTAATTCCATTTTTGCATCAATTAACATCTACTAATTTAAATTCAGAAGAGGTATCTAATATATTTAATCATTTTAGTTAGAAAAAAGAGTTAAACAATTAATTGTTAGATTATCTTAATTAAGTGGAGAAGACATTGTAACAGCTTTAAAATGATATAATAATATTAAAATTTGTTTATAAAATTATTGTTAATATTAATATTATTAATTATTAGACATGTAATTTTTTATTGGTAAAAGTCAAGAGAATAAAAATTTATTTGCCTAATAATCATTAAAAAGATTAACAAAAGATCTTCTTGATGAGAAACTACAAGAATTAAATGATAATACATGTTAAATATAGATAATCCCAAATGGTGAAAAATTGCATTTATAAATATCTCCAAAAATCGGCTCGTTTATTTATAACAATTACTAAGTATATCAAACTTGAGTATTTTAGTTTTACCTAGATTTTACTACTAATTATCCCCATAATCCTCCTATAATTTATGTAGAATCAAACATTCCCCATCCTAACATTGATTTAAAAAATCATTAAGTTTATCTGAAATTTTTTGATCCAACAGTTTGGAAACCAATATATGGGTATTTTTAGATTTATAACTTAGATTATACGAAATAATCTTGGCAATAAAATAAACAATTCTTTACATAGATTATACATATATTCCAAATGATATATAATGTATCAAAAGTGCTTAGAGAATGGGTTAATTGGATCATAGTACTGATGAAGAAGAAACAGATGACAAAGGATTTGAATTAAGTGATAATTTCAAAAGAAATTTTGAGTTACCTCTACTTTCAAGAATCAGTGTGGAAAATGAATAATCAGATGATACAGAAGAAGAAAATCAAGATGATCATTTTGAAAGATCTGGTTAAGAACCTGCAATAATCAATTTAACTAAAAATACAAGACACATTTTAGATGATAAAAATACATTACCTAAACCAAAAAAGTGATTTATATATTACATTTTAATTTTATTTACTAAAATCATCAAAAATAGAAATCATTTTATTATTCATTCTAATTATTCAATAATTTTGTTTTTCTACATAATCAAGTTCAATTATGGTAATAATTCATTTAAACATTGATTAGTCTCATAACTTCTTTTAATTAATAATAAATACTTTTATAACACTCTTTGCGACTCTTCATTTAACAGTTTATAACTTACCCATAATATTGTTTATTTATCCTTCTCTTAATTTTTAATTTCCTTTTCTAACTATTAGAATGTGTGGCGAACTTTTTAATATTTCTTAGCTCTCAAAAATCTTTTTAAATTAATTAATTGTATATTTTACCTATATTTAATATTTGATTTTTCTTTTTCCCATTTATTTATTAATTCTTCATTTCCTTCGCTATATTTTAATACATGTTCTTTTTGAAATATTCCTAATTCAATTGACATTTCGGTAAATCTTGATAAAGTTAACATTTTATCACCATTTTCATCTTAAAAATCTGCATTATTTGTAAATATTTATAATATTTAAGTTTTGGATAATTTATCCTAATGAATCGCTCTGTGTAGAGTTTTGAACTATATTATTATAATTTTTGTTTACTTCTGAAAATTCAATTAATTTATTTCCATCCAAATCTGCTGCGTTGAATAATGATTCTAAAATTGTTTATTAGTCTTTTTTGTTACTATAATAACATTCTAATATTTTTAATAACAAATTATCATGATTTATATAATATCTTTAATTATTTTATTATTAACTTCTATATAAATGTAATAATTATTATATTTGCTGTTATTGAAGCCATCTAAATGATTTTTCACTTAAAAACTCGCTTACTTATTCATAATTCAATAATAATTCTACTTTTCCATAAATTAAGTCATTTTTTTATGTAAAAAATTAATAACTCTCAGTTAATAACTTTTATCCTATTTCATCCATTTCACCAATAAGATAGCAAAATTAGGCTAACAATTTTGCTTTAATATGATTGGTTTTTTCATAATAAATAAATTGATAAACCTATTTAATTTTTTTTTCAGCCACTTGCTTGAATCCATATTTATTTTTAAAATAATCGTAAATACAAACATGAAATGGTATTTTATATCCCTCTGCTTATTTGCAAATATCACTCAGAATTTGTATTACTAATTTTTATAATTATAAAATAGAGAATTGAATTTTCTTATTCTGTTTTTTTTTAGATTTTAATTCATTCAATAAACTATTAGCTAAATCTGTATTTTAACTGTAGATTCTACGAAATCTCTTTTAATTCTAAGGTTCAAGCACTATTGGGTGAAATTTATTTTTTATTTTATTTTATTAATCCTTATATTAATTAATTACTTATTTAATTCTTTCACCTTAAGGATTATTTGAAATTATTTAAGATGATTCAAAATCTAAATCCTCTGAGATTGTTTCATCAATTTATGTCATACTTAAACTTTTATCTTAATTTTATGTTTTTAAATTCCTATTTTTTGTGGTTTAATTATTAATATTGATTGAATAAATTTACTCACTTTATTCTTTAGTTTAAACTAAAGATACTTAATGTCCTTAATTTTGATCTTAATTTAAACTTTTACCTGTTGTTTTTCTATCTTTATCTGATAATTAATTTTTTTAATTTAAACTTATCAAATTTTCTTAGACTACTTATTATTTCTTTTGTTAATTTTATTTAGAAGTTTAGTATATTAATTATTACTAATTTTCAGATTTTGAATACTAAGTTTATTATTTTTAAGTTTTTTCATTTTATTTTATTTATGTAGACATACTTTAACTACTATCGTTTTAGGATTATTTTTTATCAAAACTTTATATAAGATCAGGTAATTATTGTTTTTTATCTATATCAGCCTTATTTTGTAAATTTTTTGATACATTTTACTTAATATTTTAAGATTTTTTTTATTTTTCATTATTTTAAGAATTTTAATTTTAATTTTTTAATTTATGATTAATTTTATCCTATTATTAAATTGTCTTTTAATCGTCTGAATATTAGATATTATACTATTAATTAGTTTAAGTATTTTAACAAGCATTTTCATCCTAATTATCTTCCTCTTAATCAAACTATTATTAATATCCATTTTAATAATCTATTATAAATATTTATGATTTACTTTCATTTAAGGTTATTATTTTTTCCAATTAATTTTTTGATTCATTAGATTCTTCATTTTCTAAATTTTTTGTTCTATCTGTAAATTAATATTCAAATTCATCCTATTCATCAATTTTTATATCATCTTCTTAATACAAATTTTGAGAGAATTCTATTTCTTATAAATTTTATTATGATTATTCGAGATCATTTTATTCTAATACATTAAATTAATCATCAATAAATTCTAGTCCGTTGATTTATATATCACATGTAGATGATACCTACTTAAGTGTTTGTTTAAGATAAGATTTCTATTTTAATAAATTTTTAATTTAGTTTTTTTTTGTTTTTATGATATCAATAAAATCTGAAACAGCTTAAGTTAATTTAGATTCTAATTCTTAATTAAAATCTGCTTTTTCCATCAATTCAATTTTATAAATTGTTTCTTCTCTCTCTAATATGGCGATTCTTTATGATAAATGTTAATTTTAAGAAATAGATTAAGTAAGAATATCACAAATCATTTATTTTTAATCTAATTAAGAATCTTGGATAAGTTAAATAGCTTATTAAACTTAAGTTGCAATTAAACTTTAATTTATATCAGATAAACAATTTTACGTTTAAGTTGAATACTAATTATTTTTTAAATTTATATTAGTTTATTATTATTATTATTATTATTATTATTATTATTATTGTTCTTCTTATAAATTTTCAATTATTATATCTTATTCTAATATTTTTTTTTCTAGTAAATCTAGAGTAATTATATTCAAATCTGTTTAAATTTCTTAATCTTAATTTTCAACACATGCTTGTACATCTTAATCATTATATTCAATATCAGGTTCTAAAATTTATTAATCTATTAATTCTGACTTCAGTTAATATTCTTATTATCTAAGCTATTCAAACTTTTCAAAATTTGTATCTTTCACTCTACTTTTTTTAAATTTATATTCAGTAGAGAATTATTTGGTATTTAATAGATGGGATACAATACTTTATCCTTAAGACAAATTAACATTAATTTTTTAAGTTTCTTACTTTTTATCACTTTAATCTTAAGTTCTCAATTGCATAATTTATAATAGTAAGGAATCAATCTCTTTTTTTTAGGCTTCATTGGTTTATAATAATAATTTCATATCAGTTGTTAATAGAAGCATTTTTGCTTTTGTTAAGTTGTGGTCCTCAACTGAATTAGAAGTTTCATTTCTTATTTTTTAGATTTATTCTTAGGATTCCTAATGTTTAATCTTTTAGGCTTCCATTTAAGAATCATGAGATATTTAAATCCTTTTTATTTATTCTAAATAGGATTTATCTGATTCTTTTTATTATTCAGAATAACATTTAATTATTTAACCAATAAATTCTACATAAAAATCCCAAACTATTTATAATAATTCTCCTCTTTCAGTACACTCTATACTAACTTATCTATTTAATGATTATAAATTACTTAATCAATTCTCTTAAACAAGATGCATAAATTAACTGAATTCTCTCAGCTAATTCTTTTGTATTAATATTTGAAGATTCTTGTTTAGTATATGTTATCATCATAAAAAGCCATTCTTTTAAGTCTATAGCTTGTTATCTATTTGGAGGAACCATTTCCTTTTCTGAATGATTTTATTGCATTTCAAGTTTTAAAATTTCAGAGAAATATCTTTAAAGTGCTGTAGCTTTTTTATTGTCTTAGAAAATTTCAGTGAAATCTAATAAACGACCTGAAAATGGGTCTTTTTCTAAATTTGTGTTAAATGGCAATCTTAAAGATGATTTACGATACAGTGTAGTATAAAATGATTGCATACTTTTATCATATTTCTACAATAGTTCATACATAAATTACAGTTTATTAAAGTTCAGGTTCCTTATAAATACTAGTTCCAAGCTTTGTAAAATTTCTTTTGGTAGATTTAAGATATGAAACATCAGATGATGGAACTAATTTTGATAAATAAATAAAACCTGAAACTTTCATATTTACTTAAACTTTGGCTGAATGAGGTATTGATGTATTAATTAATTGATCCCATTCAATAGAAGAGTTAGATGACGATTAAAATTTTTGTTTGTATTTTGATTCTAAATGATGAGATGAATGAGATTAATGAATTTCTGGTAAATAATTTTTATGCATAATATTAAGAAAAAATTGATGTAAAATAACATCATAAATTAGAAACATAAATATTTAGATTTGATAGTAATTTTTTAATTAATTTATGGGAAGCTGTGGAGGCAAATCTTAAAACAAGGAGCAAAATATGAGCAAAGAACAAAAATGTACAAACGTTCATTAATTTATTAAGCTCTTGCTATAAATAAATTCGAAGTAGGTCCTGACATCTTTATTAATTTAAAGCAAGGAGATATAACAGATAATTATATCATAAATAAAATCTTAGGGGAAGGTATAAAACAAATGTAAGTTTTGAGGTTCGTATGGTTAAGTAAGATTAGTCCAACATAAGAAAACTGGTTAATAAAGAGCTATGAAATAAATATCGAAAAAAAAAATACTCAAAGAATAAGAGGAGGCAATGTTTAGTGAAGTTTCTTTATTAAAAAATATGGATTATCCAAACATAGTAAAATTATTCGAGCTGTACTAAGACAGTTAAAATTACTACTTAGTCACAGAATATTTGAATGGAGGAGAACTATTAGATAAGTTGACTAAATTAAATACCTTTAATGAAAGAATGGCAGCAGAATATATGAAGTAAGTTCTATAAGCACTTGCATATTGTCATGCATAAAATATCATTCATCGGTATTTATTAATTTAATCCATTTAGTGATATGAAGCCATCTAATATTATGTTAGCCTCTCCAGATCCATAATCAAAGATCAAAGTAATAGATTTTGGAACTGCTAAGAGGTATATTAGTGGTGAGGCTTAGACATAAGTAATAGGAACTGTAAATTGATTTTTAATATTTAATTTAGCCCTTATATATTGCTCCAGAAGTAATAGATAAGAATTATACAGAGAAATGTGATATTTGGTCATGTGGAGTAATACTATATTAAATTTTAACTGGCAAATTTCCTTTTGATGTCAAAGTTTCTAGTTTATAATAACTTTTCACTAACATTAAATCTGGGAAATATAACTTTACTACTAAAGAATTTACTTCATTATCATATGAAGCTCAAGAATTGATAAAATCAATGTTATAATATGATCCAAATAAGAGACCTTCAGCTTAAAAGATTTTAGAGGATCCATGGATTAAAGAGAAAGCTCGAGAAGAGTCAATAAATATTAACGTAATGAATGAATTAGGCAAATTTAGAGTATTATAAATTTATATATAATTTAGAATGAAAGTAATATGAGAGCTGCCATTATGTAATTAATAGCGGGTTCAGTTATGTCTAATGAAGAAAAAGATTAACTTACATCTACATTTTAAAGTATGGATAAAAATAAAGATGGATAATTATCAAAAGAAGAATTAATTCAAGGTAATTAAATTTTTATATCCAATAGCTTATACATAAGTTTTTAAAGATGAATTGAAGGCAAAACATTTAGTAGATGAAATATTTGATTAAATAGATCAAAATAATTCAGGTAAAATAAGTTATACTGAATTCCTTGTAGCATCTGCTAAATAAAATACAATTCTTTCTAAAACTAAAATTGATTAAGCATTTAAAATGTTTGATAAAGTAATATCTCAATTCAAAATATTTAGGATGGAAATGGAGTTATAACAAAAGCTGAATTATAAGATATCATGTGTGGAATTGACGTTGATAATTCTGAATGGAATCAAATTATCTAATCTTGTGATAAAAATAATGATGGAAATATCTAATATGAGGAATTTGCATCAATGTTATTAACAGTGGTCTAAAAATGATAGCCAATCAATTTTATATTAATCGAATATTTCATTTAATCAATTTTTTCTGAATCTCCTTAATTTTCATGTATTACAATATGTTCAAACAATTATCCATGTCTTTTTTAAATTAATCACAAAGCATTTGTTCATCAAAATTTTATTTCAAGCATTCTAAGTATTTCCTCTAAATAGGACGACATGATGTTCTTTAAATTTTATTTAAAACGTTATATTCATCTTCTTTTCCTGCTTACCACCATTCTTATTCTTAATCTTTTAGAATTTAATCAATACTCATTAATTTTAATTAATATTAATTCTTATCAGTTGTAATCATTAAAGGTTTGTAATTGAAACTTTAACCATTTGATTATTACAAAGGAGATCTATCTGAAACAGCCGACTCAGTGATATGTTCTTAGGTTTCTTTACTAATTACCGGTTAAAACTAATTAATGATAATTGTTAATATTACTCCTTATATATAGATATATTCAAAAATCCTAATAATAACAAATAATGCCTTGATAATTCATAAACTGTCTTATAATTCGATTGTAAAGAAATTGAGGGATACCTAAAATTGTAAATAAATGCATCTTAACTAAAAATGTAACATGATAACTTGTAATAAGAATATTGTACTAGATAAGTGCTGATTGATAATTTTGAGATCTGTCTTTCATAAGATATTTTTCACTAGCAATATAAATTTAATGGGGTCTTAAGTTTAACAAAATTAACCATATCTCCAAACAAATCCAATTTGTTTAATTAGTAAGAAAAATTTGAATTAGATTAAAACAACATACTTATATTCATTTTTTATTCTAATCATTTTTATCAAAAAAAACTAATGGATATTTCTCAATATTGTGATAATTTTATAATAAACATCCAAAACTTAGAGTAAATTCAAGAATTATTAAAGATATTTAATAAAAATCAATAATTTTCATATAAATAAACAGTTCGCAAAATATTTTTCTATTAGAATATTTGTGTTGCTATTTAATTAAGTTTTTTAGTAATAAATACTTCTGGAATCAAAAATTATTTTTAACAAAAACTTGTTTAGTTTATAAATAATAATTATTTTTATTTTAATGAATCATAAAGTTGGTTAAATAAATTTATTAAATTTGATTCAATTGTAACAGAATTTTGTATAAAAAAATAATGAATTGAAAATTAATAATTATATATTTTAATAAAAATTTAATGATTAGACGTCCAAGGTTTTTAAGCCCTTAAGAGAGAGTGAAATCTCCTCCCACTCATGTAAATTTACAACTTCCACGAAAGTAGGGTCTTTTGATGTAGGTAAGAATTTATATTAATTAGACTGGTCCTTATGTATTTGATTGCTCTTAAATTATTGGGAAAGGATAGTACTCAGTGGTGTATAAAGGATATGAATAGAATAAACCAAATCAAATAGTGGCAGTTAAGGTTATAACGATTTAACCTAATAACCCAATTCAAATGTACATGATTGAAAATGAGATCAACACTCTTAAGCTTTTAGATTCGCCTCACATTCTAAAGCTATTGTATCATCATTAAAACAACAAAACAGTATTCTTAGTAACTGAATTTTGCAACAAAGGTATATATAATATAATGAAATTGATAGGTGATCTTTTACAGAAATTATAACGATCTCTGATTTCAGAAGAAGAGGCTATACAATATACTCTACAGATTGCAAAAGCATTATAAACTATTCATCAACATAATATAAGTATGAATTCAAATATCTTTAGTGCATGGAGACATTAAATCTGCAAATATTTTATTGTCAGATCGATGTGTTTTAGCAGACTTTGGTTTTGCTTAAAAAATAGATTAGGCTTAATCAACATTTATTATTGGTACACCTCTATATATGGCACCAGAAGTTCTCTTTGATAATGATATAAACTGTTAAGCAGATATGTGGTCTTTGGGTTGTGTATTATATGAGATGGTTTATGGATAATCACCATTTTATTCTGAAAATAATGATATTTTGAAAATCACTTTATCAAAGTTTAAGGAACATGGTAAATTGTAATTTCCAAATACTGGGGTTTCTAAAAAGATTCAAGCTTTAATTTTATATTTAATCAGAATAGATCCAAATCAAAGATTAACAGCATAACAAACTGTTGGATTACTTGAACCAAGTAATGTATACGAATAAATCAAATTAAATGAAAATCAAATTAAAATTAATTAAGAGCTTTTAAACTTAGATGAAAAAGATATCCAAACTCAACTACACTAATAATAATAACCTATTTTTAATGAAAGCAATTCAAATTCGAATTCTTAGTCAAATTAAACTCCTATTTAAGAAATTTAATCTACTCCTGATAACCAAAAAAATTCAGGAGGCAATAATTCCCAAGATGAACATAGAAGAAGTACAAAAAATAGTAATTCAAGTGCCAAAAGAAAAAAATTGCTATAATAATTAAATAATATTAATTAAAGGAATATAAATTAATAAATTAATAGCACTCCTACCTAATAAACATAATCATAAAATACTCAAAATTCAGATACAAAAAAAGTCCCTCAGAAAAATGTTTAATATTTATAATAAGTAAATACTAATTGTAATAATAATAATAATATAAATAATAATAATACTAATAATAATAATACTAACAATAATAATACTAACAATAATAATAACAATACCACCAATAATAATAATTCTGGTAATAAAACTATTTCTTTATTAGATTTGGTAAATTATTTTTATAAAGTATATTAATTAATTCTAAATGGCAAAGAACTTAAATTAGCTTTTATTTACTTAAAGCTTGTAAACATTTATTATTTAGCATATTTAGAAGAATAATCTAAATAATAGAAAAAAGTAATTTTTGTAAGTTGTTAGAATGATTATTTTGAGCTAGAAAGAGAGATAAAGACTAAGTATCCTCTTTGGCTTAAAGAAGAAGAATTTCAAAAGATTTTCCATAGCAAATTTATCCTTACCTAAGATTTTTTGAGATATTCTTTAAATTATTTGAATAAGGCAGCAGTTGATTAGTAATAAGATGAAAAGATTACAGAAAAAATAAAGAAAACGCTTTAAATAATATAGATCCTTGTGTCAAATGAAAGAAGTAGCACTCTTTAGTTAGATCAATAAATTATACGGCTTCATAGACTTAATTCCAAAGTTTGATATATATATATATTCTCATATTTTTAAGTTTGCCATAATAAAATTAAAGAATTTTTACTGATAAATAAAATTTGAGTTTTTGATTATTTAATTATTATATGGGGAAAATGAATGTAGAAAAAAATGAAGATAATAATAATATTTAATGAATAAAGAATAGAGTATATGAGTAGAAAATAAAAATAATGAATTGGAATTGTGCATCAAAATAATTAAGATAGGAATGGATTGATATGTAATATACATGAGAAACGAGCCTCAAATTCTAATATAAATTAAATTAATTAAATTAAAAATGTTAAAGCATGCCTTAAGAGTGATGCAAGTCTTCAGACCAAAATTGTTACATTGTACGCCACTGTAAACATTGGCAATTAGAGGTCCTCTTTTTACAAGCATTCCTGTAAGTTATTTCTGTACATAATTGCCAAAACATAAGAAATTAGCAATGCCTGCTCTGTACTTGAAAAAATGATATATTAATAGATCACCAACAATGGAGACAGGAAACATTTAGAAATACTTAAAGAAAGTAGGTGATCCAATAACAGCAGGTGATGTACTATGTGAAGTAGAGACAGACAAAGCAACAGTGGGATTTGAGATGTAAGATGAAGGATTCTTAGCCTAAATTCTTGTTCCTGAGGGTAATTAAAATAAAATAAATTAATTAGGATCTAAAGGAGTGAAAGTAGGATAATTAGTTGCAGTAATAGTTCCAAAGTAGTCAGATGTGTCATCATTTGCTAATTATAAAGATTAATCAAATAAATAACCTGAGTAAAGTAATGTTGATTCAAAACCTGCCTCTTAACCTTAATAATCATAGTAATCACCACCATCTGCAGCATCAGTAGGAACATTCCCTAAGCATTCTAAATTAGGCCTTCCAGCTTTATCCCCAACAATGGAGAAAGGAAATTTAATGAAATGGCTTGTTAAAGAAGGAGACAAGATTAGTCCTGGAGATGTGATTTGTGAAATTGAAACAGATAAAGCTTCTGTTGGATTTGAAGTTTAAGAAGAAGGTTATATTGCTAAATTAATGGTACCTGCTGGAACTAAAGATATTAAATTAGGAACTGTAATTTATTATATTATTTTCAGATATTGGCTATCTCTACTCCAAAGAAGGATAATGTATCAAGTTTTGCTAATTATACTCTTGAAGGTGCAACTGTTGCTTAAACAACTTAAACAAAACCAGTTTAATAATAATAACAATAATAATAATAACCATAAATAATAATTAATGACACTCCAATATAAACAATTTCTTAATCTGGTTAAAGAATATTTGCATCACCACTAGCAAAGGAATTTGCTAAAAAGAATAATGTTGCTTTAGAATATGTTAGAGGAACTGGTTTAGATGGTAGCATTATCAAAAAAGATGTAGAAAGATATCTCTAATCTGGATCTAAACCTGAAGTCTAGTAATAATAATAAGTTGTTACACCTCCTTAATAATAATAATAATAATAATAATAATAATAATAATAATTTTAAACATAAGCTACTTAAGAATAAACTACTTAATAAACAGTTCCACCTTAAGTTAAATAATAAAGTAAAGCTACAACTGCTACAAAACCTGTTGCTATTGAAGGCAATCCTTATGTTGACACTGAACTTACTAATATGAGATAAACTATAGCTGCAAGATTATTAGAATCAAAAACAACCATCCCTCACTATTACTTAACTATGACTGTAACAATGGATAAAGTATTAAAGTAATATTTATTCGATTATTAAAAGAGTACGTGAAGAATTGAATAAATTATAAAAAGTGAAAATCTCTGTTAATGATTTCATTATTAAGGCAAGTGCTTTGGCATTAAAAGATATACCATAAGCTAATTCATAATGGCATGGTACATTTATTAGAAAATTTGCTAATGCTGATATTTCAATTGCTGTTGCCACTGATGCAGGTCTTATCACACCTATTGTTTTTAATGCCAGTAGCAAGGGTCTTGGTACAATTGCCTCTACAGTTAAAGAATTGGCTGATAAAGCTAAAGCCAATAAACTTAAACCTTAAGAATTTATCGGTGGCACTTTTACCATCTCCAATCTAGGAATGTTTGGTATTGATTAATTTATTGCTGTTATTAATCCACCCTAATCAGCTATTTTAGCTGTTGGAAAAACTAGTAAAAGATTTGTCCCTGATGAAAATGGTTAACCTAAGTACTTTATCATTTTATTTCAAGGGTTGAAAACTAAATGGATGTTACCTTATCTTGTGATCATAGAGTTGTTGATGGAGCTGTTGGTGCTTAATGGTTACAAAGATTTAAATTTTATATTGAAGACCCTAATACATTATTGCTATGAGCTTTATTAAAATTTATAAATAAAAAATGTATCTATATCAGTTTCAATCAATAAAGTCTTCTTTTTTACTTTATTTACAATATATAATTCATCACTATAAAATTTATATGCTTTATCACTCAAAATCTTATGCTTTTTCAGTTTTGCACAGGTTTTCTAAATTTATTTCATAATATATAAGAGAAATAATTGTTCTTTTCCTTTTAATCTCTAAATTTAATTAAATAATATGTCTTCAAAACCAAAATATTTGTTAAAAAAAGTAGCAAAAGCCAATGATCATTAAAACAATATGTTTATGACACAGACATTAGATTAAGATGAAGCTCAATTTTACAAAGATGGAAAGATCTGTTCATACTATATAGTTGGTAACCCAGATCTATTTAAAAAAAAAACTTTAATTCTAAAATAATCAGAATAATCAAATATCCCTTCTAAACCTTCTTAAAGAGTTATATAGAAACATCAACGCCATAAATAAGACTCTGATTTCATCTATGAAGACATGGATGCAAGTGATGTAGAAAGAGAAGTAGAAAGAGTAATCCAGTAATAAAAATAACCAGAATAAGGAGTTAAAATGGCTCTTAACAAACCAGATTAAATATATGCTAATAGAGAGAACAAGATAATGATAGCATTTGAGTAACAAAAACAAAAATGGGATTAAAGAGTTATCTAATCAGCAAAAGCATGTGGTAGAGATCCAAAATAATCTCTATTCCATCATATTGATGCTGCTAGACAGCGTCATGAAGATCGTAAATTATTGGACTTAATTTAATCAGACTCAGAGAAATATGGAAATCATTTATGGGTAATTTTATTAAATTCTATTCAAGGAAATGTAACTTAGAGCAGCTCCAGGAGAATTGAATAATAAAAATGATAAAGCTTTTTTTGAAATTGTTAAAAAAAATAATGCTGAACAAGTTTATTAAAGACCTGAAGGTTTTAAAAAAAGGTTTCAAGAAAAGTAAGATGTTATTGATAAAATAATACCAAATTTATCAGTTAAAGAATTAGAAGTTGTAGGATAAAATAAATTGATAAAAGAATCAATATCGATGCTGAATTTAGCTAAAAATTAAAAGAACTAAAAATTTAACAACGAAATACCCCTCAATTCTAAAAGAAAAGTTATTTTATCAGCTCCTTTTGAAAAAATAAAATAAAAAGAAGAACCTTTATTCTATCAATAAGTGCTTGAAATGAAATACAACAAAAGGGAACTACGTTAAGCAGGTCAATTGGATATTTATAAATAAATTTTTTGATTGATGTTGAGTTTTAAAATTTATTTATCCAATTTTTGTTCTTTTTACAAAAATTTTATGATTATTATTAAATAAAAAATTTGGCATTTTATTAATTAACATTAAAATCAGATAATAATTTATTTAATTTATTTTGTTTTATTCTAAAAAATCGAAATAATCAATAAAGAATTAATAATTTCTCCTTAAATATTATATTAGTTATTTAATACATATTAAGTATCATCATAGTTTAATAACTATTAACTTTACTATTAAAAGCAAAATACTAATTGAATATTTACAAAATTTAATTAATGAATCACCGTTTTTGGCATTTGCAGCTAACTTATTTCAACATAAAGAAAAAGCTCTCTTCGTTCTAACTAGTTTTAGCTAATATTTTGGCATTTAATGAAGCAAAAGAGTATGATGCAGAATGCTAAATAAATTAATATATTTTTGAATAATTTAATAAAAGTTGTAAATAGAAATTATAGAAAAAATTATTCAATAACAAATTTAAAATATTAATGTCTTAAGTAACTACAATGTTTAAAAATATAAATAATAGATTATGAAAATAAAATCACTATAATTGTTTTAAGGAGATGCTTTGTTATGAAATTGTTTAAAGATATTTAATTTGATTTTTATCTTTCAATTATATTATTTTAGTATATAATATTTAAGCATTAGAGGTTCTCTTTGTAATTTTAAATAAGCCCATATTTTTTAACAATAATGTAGATTTAATCTAGTTTAATTCCAAATAAACCTTACAAAAAATAGAAATAGAAAATCTAGATGGAATTTTATTTTATTATATGGTTTTTTAGACTTTTGAAATTTGTTAATATTTAATAAACAATAGTTATATCATTACAAAATTTAAGAATAACAGTAGAATAATGTTATGGAATCTTGAAAAAGAAATGTAAAATAAAATTTAATCACAATCTATTATTTATTTTTGAAAGTTTATGTTTTGATACAATATTTTATAATCTTCTAAAGCCAAAAAGCCATTAGATTATATCATTATAAATAAATTAGTTAATCTCTTAAAAATTTCAGTTATAAAATAAACAAAAAATAAATGAATATTGAAAATAATTATTTATTTTTTCGTTAGTCGTAAGAATAATTTCATAATCTGTTTGATCAAATAAATATCAAACAAACTAAACTTATTTTAATTTTCATTATTATGAAATGCCTTGTGTATATTTATCTGAAAAATATGGAATCCTTTTGTATCTTAATAATTAGCCTTTAGAAAAAAATATCAATTTATCAGAGAAATAGCTAAGAAATGAGATTTTGAGATTAAATAGTTGAGTTAGATAGCAAATGAGACAAGATGAATTTGATTTTGATTATATATATTAATACTTTAATAAATAAATATCAATAAATTGTAGTTATATGAAGTCTAAAAAAGGAGGAGTTGATCTATTAATTTATAATTCTGTTTTAAAAATGATTCGTTTTGAAATCCATTACAATACTATGTAAAAAGTATAAAATTCTTTTTTCTGCATCTTTAAGCCTGGAAGGAATAGCGGGAATATATAATAATTAAATTAATGTCCAAAAGAAAACCATAATTTGACATTGGAAAGGATGTAGATGATGAAGAAGCTTTACCAGTAGTCGGTATTAATAACACTCAAGAAGAAATTTAGGAGAGAAAGTAATGATATGGAAATATAAAAGAATTTTGAAGATCAAAGGCCCAAAACATAAAGAGAATAATTAAAGTACAAAAATAGTAATTACTGCACCACCTCCATCATTTGAATAAGTTGGATCTGATTAAAAACTGTCAACACCTCCTAAAAAGTTCTTGCCCACTAATATATTCAATACTCAATAAGAAAAATTATTTTACAATACTTAACCATTAAATAGTTTATAATTACCTTAGCAATAAAAAAACAATTTTGGGTTAGTGAGTCCAATAATAGAATTTAAATCAATACGAAAAGGAGATAAATCAACAGCTTCTCCTAATTAGGAAACCTGTTAAAAAAGTGAAATTTTACATGTAAATTTTATGATATAGATACATAGAATAAATTAAAAAAAATAAAAATAGGTGATAAAGAACATGATAATAAGGAAATTACTTTAATAATAACAAAAGATGGAGAAAATCATAAAATAAAAATTGAGTATTATTATTTTTTTATAACAGACCTGATATATTTGAAGGATTAGTTGAAAAATAGAAAACAAAAAAAGAAGATAATGTAGTGAGATTAGAATGTAAAAAGGAGTCAGAAATACATGAATTAGTACTAGAATTTGACAATGAAAAAGACTTTGAATAATTTAATCTATGATTTGTTTTCAACCAAAAAAATCATCAACTAGTTCGTCTTTTTGCTCTTCTTACTCCTTTAATTTTTATGTTGTTTTTCTTTCCATATATGTCTTTTTTCTTTCTTCCTTTTCTTTAAGTCTTTATTCTTCTTCCAATCTTTTTTTCTCTTCATTTAATTTTTTTTTTTCTTCATTAGGATCTAATATATCTTTATTTTATTAATCGTTGCTACTTTGAACACTAATAATATCTTATTCCTTAGGTTATTTTTCAGGAGCAATTTATGCAATTCCTACATTAGGTGGTTTTTCATAGCCTTCGGGCATTATTTATGGATTATTTTAACCATCTTCAGGAGGTATATAATCCATAGGAACAATTTGATTGCTTTTGAATTTCGGTTCTTCTTCTATTTCAAAATCATCCAACAAATAATTAGGGGACTTTATTTTAACAAATATCAACACAATATTCCAAATTGTGTAATTAATAATTGTTATAAGAATTGTCATCAACATATACCATCCATTAGATACTTTCACCTATTTAGTATCATCAATATTTAAATATAATAGACCACTTACAAAACATAAAGTATCAAATATGGCTTGGGTAGTTTATTTATATAATATAATTTTAGAAATGAATGGATTGTATTTATAAAGTGGAAAATAAATAACAATCCTTAAAGCTCCCAAAGTAATAATTTAGATTAATTAAGAAGGAAGTAAGAATATGCAAGCATAAATTACTTTTCTAATATAAGGGACATAAATAAATAATCTTCCTAATTTTGTTCTTAGTTCATATCCATCATATAAGCAACTAAGATATAGATGAAGCCATTCAAATGTATAAGCATTATCATGTTTCAATATAAATTTATAGGTTAAAACAAATGCAATACCACTTAAAATGATGAATATACCTGCAACAGTTATATTGATAATGTCAAATATGGTTTGGTAATTTTGACAGGTCTAAACTGTTGAAATCATTAAATCAAGGAACATCATCTCAAATATTCTAATAAATGCTTAAAATTTCATGTATTCATCAATATCTTCTAATCTATTTAGAATCACTTCCCAATGAATAAATTTTATCATTATTTTAATTACAGCCCACAGTATAAGGACATAGACGATAAAACTTATGTATCTTCCACCTGCACTTAGTAGAAACTATGAAGGATAGTCTTCAATTTAAAATTTAATTGTATTTTATTTAGGAACATCCATAAAAAATAGGAATATATTAGGTATAAATGAAAAGTTACAATAGTTTAACACATCAAAAACCTTATCAATATGTAAAGAATATCTTAATTTTATTAACCTTAATAATGAGATCAATTATAGAGATTATATAATTTGCCACACTTGTCCACTGCCAATCTTATAAGAATAAACAAATGCTGATATAATGCTAAAAATAAGAAATGTTAAGGTAATGTAACTTAATGTATCACTGAAATAGATTTCGTCTTCTGTGTAGTAGATAAAATAATTTAATTGAGTTTTGATCAAGCCTACTTTGGCAATTTTACTATCTGAATCATTAGCCAATCCAACAAGAGACCATCCAAATTTATCTTGAAAATTATTAGGTTAAGTAAAGTTAATAGAAGCAAAAATGTTCTAGACGGTGTCAAAATAAGTAAAGTTGATTTCGATTAAATACATATCTATTTATTTAATATCGTATTAGTAATCAGGTAAATCAGGAATATTAATTAAAATTAATTCAGTGAAATTGTAGACTTAAGATAAAGGTCGATTAAAGACTAAATATAATTTATCAAAGTGAATTTCATCGATGAAAGGAGAGACTTGCAGAGGTTTTAATTCATAACAGATATCAGGACCTTCATTTTATTCTAGAATGCAATTGAATCCACTTTTAATTTTACAATCAATACAAGCGCCCGAGAGATTAGCATCATCACATTATTCAGAAAGGGCATGTAATCCATCTCCACAATTAGGCTCAATATTAACACATTCTTGACCATCAGGTTGATAACCAACTTAACATTCAAGACAATTATCAAGATCACATCTCATGCAATTCTTATCGAAATTACAAGGAACACATTAATTTTCTTCGACTCGATAACCTGCATCACATTCTTCACAAATTACTTCATTTTGACAGATATTACATGGTGCATAACATTTAATACAACTATTACCTAATACACCATTAGATTATTCAAAATATCCATCAATACATTATTAAATGCATTATTCCTTAAATAAATAAGTTTACATGCTACATTGAGTGCATACATTTGCATAGCATTCTAAACAATTATCTGGACATGGTTAACATGTATCAAGATAATAGTATCCTTATGGACATTATGAATAACATTCATAATTGTATAGAAAATAACCATAAAAACAAAAAAGACATTGTTAACCATCAGATGTACATTATTCACAATTATCAGAACATTTATTACATTTATCAACAGTACCTCCTTCAATTAAATTACAACTATAACCAGGATCAGGTATACAATTAGTACATCCATCCATATCAACTAGATTTCCATCATCACAAAATTCAGAATTTTCTCTAATTGCATTTCCACATTTAGTTTCTCTTTGACAATTTCTACTACAACCATCTCCATCTATTTTATTTCCGTCATCACATTCTTCAGAGTTCATTTTAATACCATCTCCACATATTGGTTAACATATGCTTAATGAATATCTATATAATCCCTATAGACATTCATAACCACTCTCTACTTAACATGTCTCAGAACAACCATCTCCAACTTCAATATTGCCATCCTCACATTATTCACTTAAACTCTTATAGGAATCACCACATGTAACATTTATTTAATCACATGAAGTCAAACTTTCATCACATTTATAACCGTAATCTATCAAACAATATGAACATCCATCACCCAATAAAGAATTATTATCATCACATTATTCTAAATCATCAATTAAACCATTTCCACATAAACTTATACAAACATTATTTGTACATTGATATCCAACCTAGATTCTACAATATCCACATCCATCATTATTGTTTGAATTATTATCATCACATTATTCACTCTAATCTAATGATCCATTAGAACACTATTTAGTACAAGTATCTTTGTTTGTAGCTGATCCTCCAGAACATTGATATCCAAAATCTACTTTGCATTTTGAACAACCATCATTACTCACCCAATTATTATCATCACAATCTTCATTAACTCTTTTGCCATCTCCACAAAGCAATTTACATGTTGTACCAGTACAATAATATCCCTCTTCTAATTAACAATTTATACAACCATTTATAAATTATAAACCTATATCACATTATTCACCTGCATCTAATACTTAATTACCACATTTTTTTATACAGATGCTAGGAGCACCACTACAAGTATAATCACTATCAATATTGCAATCTGTGCATCCATCATCATTTATGAAATTACCATCATCACACAATTCTGCTCCTTATAACACACCATCACCACATTATGTACATTTTTTAGATACAGGATCAGCTAAATATCCAACATTACAATTAGCTGCTAATACACAATTTGTGGCTTACAAATAATATCCATTGTTACAACTTGTACAAGTAGCAGCATTTGAACATTCATTACATTAATAAATACAAGACCTACAAAGTGGTAAAATAGCAGATTAATATCCAGTAGAACCTGAAACACAAGCAGCAACACACGATCCAGCTTATAAAAAATTGGTACATTTAAAACATTATTATTAAGTATAGGAATTGATAGAGTGTAAACAGTTAGTTTTGCATTTAACAGAGGAAGCACTATAATAATTAACATAGGAAGATCTAATATCTAAGTGAGCTAATCTCATAGAACCTGAACTAAATTAATTTTTAAGATCTCCAATATAGAGTACATCATTTAGACTTTCATCATATTTAATGGAAAGTGTAGTTTAAGTATGTGTTTAAACAGCTCCATTGACATAAGCACTATAATAAATTTTGCTAAGGCCAATAGCAGCATCAACATAAGCAGATGATATGGAGATATATGTCCATGTTGAGGCAATAACAGTAGGAGTGATAGATATAGGTGATTTAACAGTTCCATAATTTAATCGAATAGTATAGGGAGCAGTAGCAGTAGTCAAGATTTGAAATTGATCTTAAGATCCACCATAAACTCTTCGAAAAATGATGGCTTCAGTGGTTGTATCGCCAGAAGGTTCTACAAAGGCATCAGTAGAAACAACAATATTAGACCAATACCAAAAGCTAATAGATTGATGAGTATTTGATAAAAGTGCAGTAGGAAGTGTGACATATTGAAGTGAGCCCAATTGAATATATTATCCAGGTGTTGGATCATTAGCATCTACTCCTCTAGTTGATCCTAAATAGCCGTTGTTATGTGATCCTTTGACTTTTTACCCAATTTAATCTTCAAATGTATAGTGATGCACATTATCAATAGAATTGGAGAGAAATGCTAGATTTAACCAATTATAATTATTATCGCTTTCATAATAAGCATCGTAAAATAGAACATTATTGGCTCGCTAATTTAAATATCAATATACCCCACAGAAAATTGAATATGTAGAGAAATACATTATGTTCAATTTAGCATCATTGGTAATTGGTGTATTAAAATTTATACCTACTAATGTTGGAGCTTGGGTTATTCTTAAGTCATTCATAGGTAACCATACATAAAAATTAACATAACCAGTACTATAGCTTAGAGTGGCTACAGCTAAAAACCATCTTTTAACAGTGTAGACAAAGGGTTTTGAAACAGTATGAGAATCATATAAGAAATCAATAATTTCATCATGTACAACTAATCCAAGTCTGATTCCATTTTCTTATACACTGAATAATCCTTATTTATCGGTACCTTTATTATCCAATTAGAACCAGCCACTATGATATTAATTTATTGATAAATACCTGACCGTGTATTCATTACCATTAGTGATGGTTAAAGGATATGAATAAGTATCAACAGAATTGTCTGGTGAGCAGACTCCAATTAAAGTGTTAGTAAGAAATGATGATGGAGCTGTACATGGTTAAGCTCTGGAGAGTATAAGTAATAAAAAAATAGTTATCATTAATATTATTATTATTATACTTTTCTTTGTTTTGCTTCTCTAAATTATAATAGTTTAAATTCAGTAAAAATATCAATAAGGTTATACTCTATATTTTAAGTATATTTCTATTTTAGATTATTGTTTAGAATCAATATAAATTATAAATGTAAGATAAAGTAAAAATTCTTATGCTTGGTGAAAGAAGTGTTGGCAAATCCTCTCTCTTGAATCGTTATATTGATGATAAATTTGATGATGCAATCCACGCCACTCTTGGAGTTGAATACAAATAAAAAATAATTACAAATGGTGATTCACAACTTACAGTCTAAGTCTGGGATACTGCAGGTGTTTTTATATAAGTTTTCATTTCTAGGCTAAGAGAGATTTCGATATATAGCTCCTATTTATTATAGAAATGCACAAGGAATTCCTATGGTCTATAGTGTCGTTGATCGTGATTCATTCAATCAAGTTTAAACTTGGATGGATTACCTCAAGGATTAAGTAGATAATTAACTAATATCTATTATATTGGTAGCCAATAAATGTGATCTTGAAAACAGAAATGTAACAACTTCTGAAGGTCAAGAATTGGCATAACTTGTATGTCATTTAATTTAGTTTTAGTACTCTGTCAAATATTATGAATGCTCTGCTAAAACAGGAACTTAAGTCAAAGAAATGTATTAAGAACTTGTTAATCAAATTCTCTCTAAAAGAATTCAAAATAATGATTAATCCCTAAGACTTAGAATTTTTACTCAAGATTAAGTGGATAATACATAACCATAAAAGTGTTGTTGAATAAACTTAATCATTATCCCATCGTTGAATTCATCTTCCTAAATCCATCAGATTGCATTCTTTTTCTCTTTTCATAATCTAACATAAATTATTTCCTCTTCTCTTCTGCTTCCTTTCTTATTAAATCTGCCAATTTACTAATCTATTCTCTATCCTTTCTCATCTATTAACATTTCTCATCATCTTTACACATTTTCTCTTCTAATTTCAATCTTCGATATCCACCTAATTATTCCATTCTTCTAACATTATCTTCAGTATCTATCTCTTTTATTATCTATTAAGTAGTTCTAATCTTATTCTATTAAATATTACCTATACTTATGCTCAAATTCTTTTCTACTATTCAAATTTATAAGCTTATCCTAAGTTCTACTTAATTTTTTCTCCAATTCATTCCTTTATTGTTCTTACATAAATTCATTGTTAAATAATATTTACTTTATTCTCTTCTCCTTTTCCTCATATTTCTTTATCTTCTCTTCCATTTATTACCTTTAAAATTCATCCATTAATTCTTTCTTTTTGAAATACTCATTTTATTTTATCTCATACTTTTTCCTCTTCTCTTCCTCCTTTGTTAAATTCAATTACTTAAAATTAAACTACTTTTTACCAAAATTTTATTTATTTGCTACTGTTTATCCAAATTTTATTTTTACTTCTGCTACTTAACATAATCTAAAAATTGTTCAAAATCTTTTCTTTTTGCTTCTACTTAAGCTTCTTTTTTTAAATAATCCTGTCTCTTTCTTTCCATCATATCTTCATTATATTTTTTTACCTTTTCTAACTTTTATTCAAACTCCTTTCTTTCTAAATCTGCAAATTTTTTTCTCTCCTCATTCTTGAACTCTATTAATTATAATCTTTTTTTCTCTTTTTCTTCTATTTATTGTTTTTTTTATTCTTATTATCTCGATTACTCAAATTAAAATTGTTCCTATTCTCTTAAAATTTAATCTTATTTTTATTTTCTATCTTTTTCTTTGAATTCGGCTTCCAACTTTGATCTTTACAAAATTTCTAGCTCTCGTTATTTCCTTTTTTATTCTTTCATTTCACTCTCTTTTATCTTTTATTCCTAAATCTATTACTCTCTTTATTCCTTTTTCAATTTTTCCTTCTCTAATTATTATTTTTTCATCTCATTATATTCTCTTCTCCTTTTAAACTCTTCCTGCAACTGTTACTCTTTTAATTGTTATTTTAGTAATTTCTATTGCATATCCTTTTCCTATTATTCTTTGAGTTGTTCTTACTCAACCATTTTATCAATTTCAATTTACTGCCTTCTTTTAATATTTTCTAATATTTTTTATTATTTTTCTGCATAACTTATTGAACTAAAATTTAATTAAGATTGATTATGCAAACTCTAACTTCTTGTTCCATTCTCTTAAAGTATTTTCTATCTCTATGCTCTTACCAAATCTATTTTTTATTTTCTCTTTTCTTCTAAATGCTTTTCAATTTCACAGATGAATTCATCATTAAGAGATTAATCTTTTTATTTTACCAATTGTGTCACTTAAGCTTTAGTTTTTTTTATCAGTTCACTTTCATGAAATCCTTCTCTTCTACAAGCTTCTAAAAATCTTGGAGTCAAAATTTCTGTATTAATATCATATGTATGCATTATTTTTTATTGTTATATTAATTTAATTTAAATTAATTTTTTTTAATAAATAAATCTCTAAACAAGTACTAATATTTTTCACATCTAACTTATAGTTTAGGAATAACTTAACAGGTTTTAAAAAGGATCTTAATCAATATATGATTCTTTCATATAATTAAGATTTATAATTTACATATATTTATTTTAAAAATTTGAAAAAAAATAAATCATTTATATGGAAATTATTACATAAAAATCATGCTCTATGTTTTTATCTTTGATTTTAGAATATTTGTTGGATAAATTATTGGTGAGAATGATCTTGCATTTTTATTATTATTGCTTGGCAAAATGTTGAATGAGACAGATTATTTATCATTTCTATCAGAATAGCTGCACAAGGATGAACGATTTGATTTATTTTATTTTAATATGCTTTTTAGTTGAAGTTTTTCCTGTACTGGTTTTTTAGAATTTTTGAAAGACCTTATCTCTTTCTTTTTTTTCTTCTCCTTTATGAAAGCAAAATTTAAAACATCCTCTTAATTTGAGTTTAGATTAGTTTTGTATTGACTTTAGGATTCATCTGAATTTTCAAATGAAGGACATTCAATAATATTTCCTTAGATTTCATTCAAAATAGTCAGGTCTTACTTATTTTTGTCAAATTGATTGTTTTTATTGTTATCATTTGCAAAATCGAAAAAAAATTCATTTTTATAAAAGTCTTCTTCAAAAGTATCTAAATTTTATGATAGGTTTTTAATTGATTGATGCAAAATTTATTTATTAGGACCCAATAAATTAGGATAACACCTAATGTGAATTACTTTTTCTTTTTAATTTATGGTCTAATTTGATTACAAACAATTATTGCCCATAAAATTAATCAACAAATATAATTTAAAGAATTAATATAATATATTTGTAGATATTGATTAAAATTCTTATGAATTCGAGATTTCAAAAATATAATAATAATTCTGAATTAGTTCATAATAAATAACAATTAAACAACGTTATTTTTTTAAAACTTATTTTTTTTATTAAAAAAGACATGTACTCAAAATCTTTCTAGAAAAAAATACAAAAATTATATTATTATAAAGTGCTAAAATTTAAGAAAAAATAATTTATCAGTCATCAATCAACAACTTAATCATTTTATTATAGGTGAGTTTTTCATTATCATTAACTACTTATTGAGCTAACTCATAAGAATTTTTGAAACAACTAGGATTCAATACTGTTATTGTTTTTTAAATATCCTCTGTACCAATCAATCCATCCCTGTCCTAATCCATTATTTTTGCCAACAAAGTATTTTTATCACCAAATTAAATGGCATTTAGTAATCTTACTAATTAAATGAAGTCAATTTCTTGTTATTTCCTTCCTATCAACTATTAAATTAATAATGGACTGTATTTATGATGTTGAATAATTTTTATAAAATCTGTTGCACTCACAAATCCTTTATTGTTAGTGTCAAGCTACTAGAATTTCTTATGTATTCTTCTAATCTAAGCTGGGGTGACTTTATTAATATAATAAAAGATGTACATTGTGTTTCATTCTTATATAAAAGAATCTATTGATCCGTTAATTAAGTGTTTCCCATTTTTAATATTAAAATATATTAATTATTAATAAAAATTCCGCTAAATAAAGTGTAAACATTTAAGATATTAAAAAAGAAATTTAAAATAAATATAATCTATTAAGATTTCATTCAATTGTATCTAGTTATTTATAATGATGATTAATTTATAGAATTTCCTATGGTAATAATTCAAAAAGACATTGTTTAGTTAAAAATCTAAAAATAAATAGGATTTTTACTTAATTTATACTCTTAAAGATTATTCATTGAGAAGCTTATAACTCATCCATAAAACATCTAAAATTATGAATTTTGAAATATTTTACTTTAAATTTCTTTTTTATCATTATTAATTAAATTATCTAATTCTTAAAATGTATGTTTAACTTTTGAAAATTATTTAGCTTCTAAAAATCTCAGTTTTATAGTATTTTTTTCATTTTTCCAATGTTCTTTGATTTTTTCACATCCTTCTCCATATTTTTTAACAGCATCTTTAGGAAATATATTTAATTCAATTGCCATTTCAGTAAATCTAGGTAAAGTTAAATATTTATCTCCTTGTTCATCAGCAAAGTCAGCATTTTTTAAAAACATCTATAATAAATTTTCAGTCTGCATTTATTAGATATGTATAGCTCTATAAAGAGTTTTAAACTAATTTTAATATATATTTATTACTTCTTCATATTCTATAAGCTTATTCCCATCTAAATCAGCAGCTCTAAATAAAGTTTCTAATATTCTTTAATAATCTTTCTTATTAAAATTGTAAAAATCTAAAATCTTTAAAATAAATTAATCATAATTAATGCAAAATTTATTAGTTCCATATTATTAATTTTATGCTTTATATTAAGATTATAATTGCTGTATCTAGTTGACTTATAACCAAAGTTAACATTTTTCATTCAAAAATTCATTTGCTGATTCGTATGTAATTTAAAATTCAGTTTTATTTGATTCAATTTTATTATTAAAGAATAAAAAAGCTTCTATCAATAGTTTTTAAGCAACTTCATCAATTACATCTTTTATATTACAATATTTTGAAATTAACTAAACTTTTATATTCTTTTCTTTTTCTAAGACAATAAATTCATAAATCTTTAAAATAGAAATATTAATACTTATCTAATTTTTTTTTCAGCAACTTGTTTAAATCCGTATTTATTTTTTATAAAATCATAAATACAAACATGAAAAGGGATTTTATATCCTTCATTCTATTTAGAAACTTCAGTTAAAATTTAATTAATAATTTTGTTAAATTGAAGAAATGATAAAGTTTTGGTCAAATTCTTGCTATTAAGCACTTATTTAAACAAATTATTTGCTACATCTGTATTTTAACTATAAACTCTTCTAAATCTTTTTGGTTATTTCTCTTATAGCAAATTAAATTAACGAGTTTTATGACTGAGGGAATCTAAATATTTGATTTTCAAATTTACTTTTCAATTACTTATCTTTATATTATGATATGATATCATTAATTCTTAAAGCACAATCTTTGTCGTCTTCTAAATTATTTTTTTCTGACTCAACAAAACTTCTTTAACTTTAAGTCATTTTATTATTTTCATCTTTTTCTCTTTAATTATTTAAATTACTTTTAGAATTATTATTTTGTATTTTCTAGTGATTATTTTCTTAATAACTTCTTTGATTTTTCTTATGATGTTTTGAAGATTTAGAAGGATCATTAATGGATTGTGTAATTTTTTGAATTGATAACTATTTTTTAAAACTACTTTTCATTTTTGGATTACTAACAATAGATGATTTCAATTCTTGATTTTTTTCTATCATATTATGTTATTAATGATTAGATGTTATCTAATCTCGAGATTCTCTACAATTCTCTTCATCAGTATTACTTAAAGTTTGATGTAATTACATTTAACTATCATTTAAATCATTACGATTAAGAAGATTATTAAAACTATTGTCAAGTTTATTTTATTGTTCATGAAGACTAGTTTCTGAATTAATTTACTTAAATTCTTATTCTTATTATTTTTGTTATAATTAAATTGAATCTCCCATATCTATTGATTTTTTACTTAATTATTTTTCCTATTAATCTTATCGAAATTCATCTTCATTAAAATATTAAGATTCTCTTCCACTGAGCAAATCTTCTTCTCCATCTTAAACTACTTCACTCATATAATTTATAATATGACTTTCTTCTTCTTCTATTGCTTCTACATCATTAATAACAATCTCATATTTATTCTCTATTTATTTTAAGGTTCCAATCAACTAAGAATTCTTTTTCAATACTCTCTTTAATTTCCTTTTATTATTTGAAATTATGGAAATAAAATCCTATACTGTTTATTATAACTTCATCTCTAATTCTTGACATAACTCTTCCTTTTCCATTAATTAAATTTTTTTCATTGAATCCAATCTATTCATTGTGATCAATTTCTAAGATAATGTTTTATTCTATTCACATACTTCTTTACTTTCACTTAAAGTCCTACACAATAATTGTTTTTAATTTTCATCCAATTTTTTATCTTCAATTAATTTCAAAGCCATTGTTATTTTTTATTCTAAATCATTAGATACTACTTTACTCTTTTCTTAAACATTAATATTTTAACTATTAATAAAATTTGAATTTTCTTTAATACTATTTTATATATCCTAATCTTAATCTTCTGTTTAAATAGCTTTATCATCAGTACCACTTATTTAAACTATTTTAGTTTAAGATGGTTATTAATCTTTATCAAAATCTAAATATTTTAGTGAAATAATTTGTGATTTTAATTAATTCTCTTAATATCTTAATTATTCCCACCTATCTAATATAAAACTATTTTTTTTTGGAGATCTACCAGGAGATTTGCTAACTTAAGATTTAAACGGAGATTTAATTCTATACTTTTAATTATTATCTATTTTTGCTTGAAAATTCATTAAATGTGAAACTATTGACTATCCTTATTAAACTTAAATATTAATTTTCTCATTTTCTTATTTAGTATCATTTGTTGACTCAGTTTTTAACATAACAATTTATAATTATAATTCATCTATTTATTTTCTATGTGATTCTATTATTTCAAGTGCTTCTCTATATTCCTATGTTAGTGATAATATCTATTCTTTTTACTATTAATCAACATCTAATGCCTTTTCATAATCAAATTATAATTGCTTAATTTAATTCTTACTTTCATTATAAATGAGTTCTTAAAAATGCAATTGTTCATTATAAAACGTCTCTTAATTAATCATTTTATTTTTCAAATCCAATTCAATACATTACATTTATTAATTTGAACTCTTAATTATTTAATCAATTAATTAGATATAAAAATCCCATATAATTTAAAGTAATTCACCTCTCTCTACACATTCAACTTTTACTTGTCTATATTTTAAATAATATTTACTTTATAATTTCTTTAAAACATGTTGTATAAATTAATTGTATTTCTTCAGCAATTTAAATTGCACTTAAACTTTTACTTTAATCTTTTATTCTTTATAGCATAAAAAATAACCATTCCTTTAAATCTATTGCTTATTATCTATTTGGAGGAATAACTTATTAATTTGGTGATTGCTTTATTTCATGTTTCAAAATATCAAAAAAGTATTTTTACAATCCATTTTCCATCAAATTCTTATCTTTTAATAAATCTTCAAAATCCAACCATTAATTTTTAATAGCAGCTTTATCAATTTTATTATTGAATTGTAATTTGTTTTACGATTTTCTATACATTGTACTATAGAAACTTTGTAAAGATTTATCATATTTCTATTATTATTAATATTATTTTTACTGTTTAAGATAATTCTGGATCTTTATAAATACTGCTTTCAATCGATTGAAATTTTTTATGTTTTGTTTTTAGATAAGAAACCTCAGAATTACTTTAAAAGTTTTTATTTGTTAAATCAGTTTTTATCCTGTTTGAAGACATTTCTGCTCTAATTGTAAGAGGTATGCTTGAATTTATACTCTAATCCCAATCTGTTCTTATTATAAGTTTTGCCTACATAAATTCTAAATTCTTTACTGTTGATTAAGCTTTTTAAATTTTAGGAAAGCAATTTGTTTAATTCATTATAAAAATAATTTTATTATAAACTGTCTAGGAATTTCTAATTGAGACAATATTTAACTTTATTCATATAACATTCAAGAATAGAACACTTAGAAATTAATATTCATAAACAATATTAATGTTTAAAAAATACATAATAATGAATAAGAAAAATCTAAATTTATTCAAATTCTTAAAATAAGCTATTTATAAAATCAGTAGATTTTACATCAATTATATCAAAAAGAAATTAGTCTAAAGATGTAATTCCTAAAAGATCTTTGATTCAAATAAAAAAATTGATTTATAAAGAAATTAAGATCTCTATTTTTAAATTTTATGAATAAAATTATAAAAAGTAAATCTGCTTTAATTTTCTGAATAATCTCTCTGAAGATTGGAAAATTTTTTTAATTTTCTTATGATCAATCATATTATTCAAATTCAGTTGTATTAAATTTCATTACCATTTTAGGCATTTAAGGTAATTATGGAACAATATCATTAGTTACAAATGACCCTTTATAATCTACCTTTTCTTCAGGAGAAGAAAAATCAACTGTTAAAGTTGCTGCTCTTGTATGGGCAAAAAACATTTTTTTATGTGCATTTGAAGGTTTTTCAGATTAAGTGAAAAATTCATGATTTAAACAATCTGTTGCATTAGGTCTCATTTTAGGATCTTTTAAAAGCATTTTTTGTACAAGTTCCCTCAATATTTATTATAATTTACTATCACATTAATAGGTATTTTTTTTAAAGTTAATGGAGAAAAGTCAATATGACATTTTTTATTTAATTATAAAACAAAATTGAATCCTGTTCCTGGAAATAAATCCCTTCCTGTAAGTAATTTAAAGAAAACAGATCCTGCACTAAATATATCACATGCAGGACCATATACTGTATCTTTATCAGTTAAATTAGCTATTTCAGGAGCAACATAACCAGGAGTTCCACATTTTGGATATTTAAATCTTTTAATTCTTAAAATATAATACTTTTTTAAATTAGAATAAGTAGCAAGTCCAAAATCTACTAGTTTTAGAGTTGTAAGATTGTTTGTTTTTTATAAAACAATATTCTCAGGTTTAATGTCTCTATGTATAATACCTTTTGAATGCATATATTCAATTCCACTTAATAAAGCCTATTTAACTATTAATTTACATGCATTATTTTTTAACATTATTCTAATGTCAGACCACCATGTTGATTTTTAATCAATTATTACAAATTTTTTCCTGATAATAGATCCATAATAATATAATAACTTGTTTCACCTTAAAAAACTTCTTTGATTTTAACAAATGCTGGATGATCTAATTAATTATTGATCTCGATTTCTTAATACATTAATTCATTTTTTTCTACACATTTTGCAGCAAAATATTAATCACCTATTTTTGATTTCACTAAAAGGACTTTAGCAGAGCTACCTTATCCTAAAATTTATAAAGGAGCATAAAAGTCTTAGATTTTTGAAAAGAATAATTTTCCACTTAATAATTCTTTTAATTTGTAAGCTTAATCTGTAAGATAAGTATTATTGTTAATTCTGAATCCAATTAAACTTTTATTATAAACCCAATGAATGATATTTGGAAATGAAATTGGTAGTGAAAATTTAGGTTCATTATCTTGATAAATATGTAAGAAGTCCTTCTTTAAAATTGCTTTAAATGGAGCTTATAAATCAAGTGATAAAAGAATTTCATTGTCTATGAAATTGATTTAGGTTTTAAGCACCATTGAGTAAACATTAGGACAACAAGTTAGAAACATTTAAAGTATTAATAAATTTAATTATGATTATCAAAAAAATATAAAACTAAATGATGATATATTTATTATAATTTAAATCAATAAATATTAAAATGAATTTGATATAATTTAAGAGAGAAAAATATGGAATTAAATTAAGAAGAGATGCTTTAGAAAAAATATTTAGTTTAAAAAGAGTAATCAATTCTCCAGACTTAATTTTAATTTTTGAAAAATAATTAGAATCATATGAGACTGATATTTTAGAAGCAATTGAAATTTTAAAATAGTACTAAAATATTAAGCCTGAATATGTCTAACTATGGCTTTTCTTATTATATGATTGTTTTATTTATTTGGACCAGCAGTATAAAGGAAATGAAATCTTGGGCTTAATCTTATTCAGTGTCAATTAATATCCGTAAGTAATATTCTTAAATAAATTCAAAAGAGCATAATTCAGTTCATTGAGTATTAACTATTTGAAATCTTACTTAGATACCAGGATACTTAAGTACTTCAAATAATTGAAATAATTTTGAAATCGTAAATCATTCGATCTCGTGATGTCCAAATTGAACCCTTTGTTAATTACATTTGTTCTTATATACCAGAGAATACTAAAGATATTTTAAAAATTCTTATTCTATTATCTCATAATATGGACTGCAAAGCAATAATCATAACAAATGATCCTATAATGAATATGTTATTGATGGAAAATCAACAATTTTAGTATGAAAGAAGTAGAATTCTTAGTCATTTATCAAGAGGAAATATTAAATTGGTTTATTATTTTTATAATTCTAAAGATAAATTACAATCTTTATTTTATCTTAATACAAAGCACTGTCTTAAAATAATAATGCGTTTGATTTGTTATGATGAAACAAAAAAAATTCTATAAATAATGAGAGAGTAAAGGATTATATAACAAATAGAGAAATTATGTATATAAAAAGATCTCACTTATTCATAAGAAATTGAGAATATATTGTAAGAATTTTAATAATGATAAAATAATAATTATAGATTAAATATTTTTATTTTTAATGGATTAAAAGTTTGAAAATTGGTTACCCCTAGAATCTAATACAAATCTGTTAAATAAATATCTAGGAAATCTAGGAGTAAATACTGATTTTGCAAATTTTGTAGATATTGTAAGTTTTGAACCTGAATTTTTAATACCCAGTAGTTTAGGAGCATTATTTGTTTATCCAGATTCTCCTGCTATAAATAATTATTTTTTTGAATAAGGTGACAAAATGTTTGAGAAGGCAATTCCAGAATCTCTTTATTATATGAAATAAATAGCAGAGAATGCCTGTGGGACTATAGCAATTTTACATATATTAGCAAATATTCCAAAAGAATATTAATTTATAATAAATGAAGAAAGCTTTTGTCCTTAATTTATATAGAATACATAAAATATGACACCAGAATAAAGAGCAGAATATTTGAAAAATTGTAAATTAGAAATAAAAAAAAAAGATGGTTAAGTGAAATCTTTATAAGATGCTCATAAAGAAGTAGCTTAAGAAAATTTAGAAAATTAAAACATTGAATTAAAAGCAGGACATCATTTTATTGCATTTGTTTGGCATAATGGAAGTGTTATAGAATTAGATGGAAGAAAGAAAGGTCCTATAAATTATACTGATTGTTAATAGGAATTATTTTTAGAAAAAGTCATAGAGATTTGTTAAAAACATTATATTGAGAAAGATGATAAAGAGATAGGATTTAATTTAATGGCATTTTAAATAGGATTTGAATGAATATTTTATTAAAATTAATATTATTAAAACTTATTAAATGATACGATTATTCTTATTAAGAAATAATTTTTAAAAATATCCTTATCTTAATTTTTTATGAAATCAATTTATTGTAGAGATTTTGATAATAAAACTAAATAGATAGTAAAATGAGAGAATAATAATAGTAGTGATAAATAAAATGCGCTTAAAAAAAGTATTTACAAATATATTCTAATGATAATTATTAAAAATTAATGCAAATGGATGAGAGTAATAAAACAAAAAAGAATGATTAAACAGTGTTAAAGGAGACATCTAAGAATAGAAATGTAAAATTATTGTATATTGTTAAAAGATAATAAATAAATTATAAGGTAATCCTTAAAGATTGTAAGGATTGAAAGAAAGTTTCAAATACTTTACTTTATTGAAAAAGAATTAATATTTAGAGAGAAAGTAATTTAGAGTAAGCAGGGATGAAACATTGGTTTGTTCATGTATTAATTGTCCTGATGAATAAATAGGAAGGTAGATAATAGTATATATAAAAATATAGTCGAATACAAGGACCATAATATTCATATAATTGTGGTGATAGATGTTTAAATAGATTTACATGTACAGAATGTGATGCTGAGTTATGTCCATGTGCAGAATAATGCAAAAATAGAAGATTTTAGAAACATGAAGATGCATGTGTGTATCCATTGAAATGTGGAGGAAAAGGAATGGGTTTATTTGCAGGGGAACGTATACAAAAAGGACAATTTATAATGCAATATATTGGAGAGATTTTTTAGATAAATAGTGCTTTAGGCAGAAGAAGAGTGCAAGAATATTCGGTTTGAATTGTGAGTTTATTTAGAAATCGACATGCACATATTTAATGAAACTAAATAACTAAGAAGTTATTGATCCAACATCAAAAGGTAATCTGGCTAGATTCATCAATCATTCATGTTAACCAAATTGTATTACAGAAAAATGGAATGTCTTAGGAGAAGTCTGTATTGGTATTTTTGCTAACCGAGACATAAATGAAGATGAAGAATTAACATTTGATTATTAATTTGATGTTTTTCATACTCCTTTAACAAAATGTTTATGTGGTGCAAATAAATGTAAAGGTTATTTAGGTTTAAAACCAACTGATGTTACTTAAGAAGAATGGGAAGAACATTTAGAAAATATGGTTTGTAAAATATGCTAATTAAAAACACCATAAGATGATGAATAATTATTATTATGTGATAAATGCAATTGTGGATTTCACTTATTATGTTTAGTTCCTCCATTAGAATCAGTACCTAAAGATGCTTGGTATTGTTAAGAATGTTAAGATGAAAAACGTATTTTAGAAGAATAAGAAAAAGAGAGAGCTAATATTGAAAGAATTTAATAAAAAAAAGTTAAAATCTATAATAATGAAAAAAAATAGAAAAAAAAAAGAGAAGAACTCTCTTCTTCATCATGTAGTGATTCTGAATGTGAATACGATAATAGATTTAAAATGATGAAATTTATAGAAAAACAAAGTTTTAAAGAATAAATGTCAAATAAATGGCAATAAAATTAATCAAGTAGATAAGATGAAGAATTAAAAAAAGATGAAGACAATAATATGTCTGAATTATAAATTCTTGCATCATCTTATAATAAAATAGATTAATATATTAAATCATCATTAGAATTTTAAACTTAAGATACAGGAAAGTTATAATAAATGTAATCGATTGTTGATGTTGCCTAATAGAAATTTGAAGAATAATATAAAGAAAACTTAGAATTACATTAATAAATAGAAGCTATTTAATAATCACAGAATATTATTAATATTGATATAATTAAAGAATGTTTTAAAATTAATATATTAGAATAAAAAGTAGTTAAAAAGAATGCATAATTAATTTATAAGATAGGGAATAAAATCAGTTTTGAATAGATTGATTAATAATATGCAGATTTCTTTAAGAAAGAAAATAATTTAACTGTAATAGGCTCAATTTAGTAAATAAATATTTTTAGATCTATTTTATAAATGGTAGAACATATAATAAAAGAATTAAAGAAAGAACTAGGAATTATAGAAGGATAGATAAAAGTACCAATTATTTATTTAAAGAGATTGATAAACAAATTGTAATCAATATAAATATTATTATTTTAGCAATAGTTTAAATAATAAATAAGATGTTAATATCATTTATAACAAATCATTAGCTCATAGTGAAGAAATATTTCCAATGGATAAATCTACTCCTATAAAAATTAAAGGTTCAAGATAAAATATTGAATAGACTGTTTCTGAAATTAAGAATACTCTAAAAACTTTATGTGTTTAAAGACTTTATATAAGTAGAAGTGAAACAAAATCAGTTTAATAGAATATGTTTTAATTAAGATAAAATGCCGAAATTAGAATTTCAAGAGATTCAGTATATAATGCTAAAGGAGAATAAACATAAAGAGATATAAATCATCCATTCTTTTATATTTAATACCGAGAGAAAGAAGTTTGTCTTATTGGAACTTTTTAATAAATACAAGAGACAAGCAATGCTATTAAATTATTATTAGAATAAGAAGCAAATAATGAAAAAGAAATGACATATTTTTCAGTGTTAATATCTCCTTAACATAAAGAGTCTTGTAAATAAGTTAAATAAATGATTGAGAGGAGTTCTTCTTCAACTAAAGTTTTACTTTTTGAAGCATCTCATCCTAGAAAAAATATGACTATTTTAGTTCTATGTTTGAGAACTTAAATCATTTAAACTAAATAAACTTTTTCAGATTTGATTTTTTAATAATGCTAATTAAAATTAGATTAATTTTAGGATTAAATGTCTATGTAAATGTGTAGATATGTTTTTAAATATCTATAAAATTCAATAATGACTAATGATATGGCATTTATGAAAAATTGGGATCTTATTACTCCTTATTTTTATCAATTTAATATTATGAAATATAGAGAATAATAAAAATTTGAAAATTGGTTTGTAAAAAGATGTTATTCTTCTCTTTTAAGAGATTATGAAACATAATTATACATTTAATATTGTTTAGGTAAAGAAATTTAAAAGAATTTAACAGATTAAGAATAAATTCTTAGAAAAAAGAATTTAATTTAATTAACAAAAAGAATTCTCTATGCAATTTTAGGTTTTAAAAGGTAACCATCTGATTAAGTTACCCTTGATTATAATTATTAATAAGAAACTATAACAAGATTTAATAATCAATAAGAAGATGATACTCCTAAATTACCTAATCTTTAATTAATAAATATATAACCATCAATAATTACGAAAAGAAATGATTTTCAAAAAGATAGTAGTTAAAGAAGTGAATCAAATTCTAGTAAAATTTAAAAAAAACAAAGTAATTCAGAATCAGAAAAAAGCAGAGATGCTTCAACAAGATAAAGACATAAATATCATCATCATCATCATAAATCTTATGGTTATAATCAAAAAAGTCCTACTGAAAAATATGATAGATATAAATATGACAAAACTGATTCATATGAAAAACATAAATCAAGGCATCATTATTATTCTCATAGATAAGATAAATCTAGAAATTCTAATAAAAGATATTATGAAAATGATTACTCCAGAAGTAGATTCTAAAATTAAAAAAGTATATCTTCTAACTTATCTTAGGATCAAGTAGTGAAAACTCAGGTAAATCTTAAGACTAAAGAAGAAAAAGATAGGAATCTGTAGATTCTGATAAATATAAAAATAATAAATATTATAGTGGATTTCATTATGATAGAAGGTATCCTAAAAACTATAAATATGATTATGAAAGTAGATTTAAATATCTATTATAGAATCTTCCAAGAATGCTGATGCCAGAGATCGATCTCGTTATTAAAGCAAGGATAGATCTAGATCTAAACAGAGAAATTAATCTGAAAGCAGTGATAGCTATAGAAGAAGATCTACTCATAAATCGAAAAAGTACTATAGGAAATATTAATGAAAAAAAAATAAATTTTAAACCAATTAATATTATACATTTAATCATGTTTCACAATTACTTATTTTAACAAACTATTCTTTAATCTTTCTTATTTTAATTACTTCAAACTTATTCATATTGTTTAAAATTGTTAAATAGATATTCTAAATTATTAAACAAATTCATTAATTATTCAATAAATTCAATTATAACATTTATATTTATATATTATAACTTAAAAAATAAACTTGAATAATTATATCTATTTATTAAAAATAATAATTTAAAAACATCTATAAAATCAATACATTATACTTTAAGTAGTTATTGATTCAGAAAATAACTAAGCAACTTCAAGATTTGTTTTGAAATTCTCTTCATTATTTTCTTTTCTATTAGATAATATCTTAAAGTTCTCAAATTCTATTAGCTACTTTTTTAAACCTAATGCCATTTAAATGTTGATTAATCCTAATTGTAGATACAAACCTAAAATACATGATTAGAGAATTTCTAATTTAATAGAAATAATTTTTTTACCTATTTTTTAGTTCAAAGAAACTAATTACCAATTATTAATTCCTCTAATATAGGATTCAAGTTTAATTTTACCCTATTAATTCAAGTATTCTAAATTTCTAACATCTTTAGAATTAATTTATATATTCAATTTTCTATATAATTAACTTAAAAAAGGATCTAAAGTTTGAGTTTCTGTTTAATGTTATTATTCTGAATTTAGTTATCTTCTAAAAATGAAATCATTTTCTAAATTAAACATGAATTTCATTTCAAGTATTTCCCTATTTGAAGCATCAAAGTCTAAATCTACAGCATGACTGGCAAGCAATAAGAATGGCATACTAAAAAATGATTTATTCTAATTCTGATTGTTAAATTCTGAAGCTACATAAGCAGCTAGTTAAGGAGAAGGTACTGCTAAAATATTTTTTTTTTAAGTTTTAATACTTTTTCCATCAAGCTAAAAATATTACTCTTAAACTAACCTTAATAATCCATTAATGAAATGGGTTTATTGGATTAGGTGCCATTTCTATGCTAGCTTCTTTATAACATTTTTTTATTTAAGCTTAATGTAATATGGAGACTTGCTCTGTGAACTTAAATTGTTTTACAAAAGACCTCATTTATTTTAATTTTTTTTATAATATGATTTCATATAAAGATACTTTAAAATATTTATGTGTACGAATGACGTATTAATTTATAAATATTAATTTTTTTAATAATACGTAGGTTACTTATATTTATAAAGAAAAAACTCAAAATTTTCATCATCTACATCAAATAAATTGTTTAATTGGTAATATTCTGTAAATCCTAATATCTGACAGTATAAAATTTACGTAAAAAACCAATTAAAAATACTGAAATGTAGCTAATCAAATTAATTTAAAATTGTGAAAATTTAATCACATGGTTTTAAAAAATATACTAATTATATTATGATGTAATTTCTTGCCATAATTTTAAGACATCAACAGAAATAATTTAAAAATATTATTGTATTAATAATATTTTTTATTCTTTTTTTTTAGTCAATATTATAAAGTAAATTATAGTTTCTAACCTTTTTAATAGTTTTTTATGAGAGTAGAAGAATTTAAGATATTTTTAGTTAGAATTTAGAAATATTTTAGATTTAATGAATGTAAAAAAAACAATTAAAAAAAAATAATATTTTATAATTAGAAATTTGATGGATTTAGACTTTATTTTTTTTCCAGCTCCAAAAGAAATATAAAATGATCATGAACATGGTCAAATTTTATGGATTCCAAAATATCCAAAACTCTATCCTAAGTTTTAAAATTATGTACCAAGAACAAATAAAAAGAGAGGAGTCTTCTTCAAATAAAGTGAATTAGATTTCGAAGATGATCATTTTTTAATTGATGAGCCTACGTAATATAAATTTGAATAGAATAGAGAATCATAATTGCAGCCAATACCAAATTTTGAATGGAAACCAATAACAAATAGATAAAGAAAGAGATAAACTACAGATATAAATTCACCAACATTTGATTCTAATGAGGGTAGTCCAGATGTTCAATAAAAATTGTAAAAATTAAATATGCAATCTGTTTAAATAATAACAAAAAAACCTTAATTATGTAGAATGTCATCTTAACTTTATTCTGTTAAAAAGACAAGAATTAATTAAAGTATTTGTTTTAGTTAACCATTAATAAAATTACCTTAAGAATTAATTGAGCTTAAATAAAAAAACTAAAATGAATTAGTTGATGATTAACCTCCACCAAGAAGATCTAATTCAAGAGAATCTCATTAAATAAATGGTTATATTCCTTGTATGTATGTAGATTCAAAAAAACATTCTCCAAATATTTTATTATATTTTCATGCAAATTGTGAAGATATAACATAATCATATAATTTCTTAGTTCATCTTCGTGAAAATTTATAAGTATGAAAATGTAGTATTTATTTTTTAGGTATCTGCAATAGCTGTAGAATATCCTGGATATGGTAAATATAAAAATGAATAACCTTCAGCTGAAGCAATATTAAACGATGCTGAATATGTGTTTAATTATTTAACAAAGAGATTAGGATATGCTGAAAATAGAATCATTATCTTTGGTAGAAGTATAGGAAGTGGACCTGCTACTTATATAGCTAATAAATATAAACCTGCATGTCTAGCTTTAATGTCTCCATTTACATCACTTAAAGCAGCAGTCAGAGATTATATTGGATCATGGGCATAATTTCTTATTAGATAAAGATTTGATAATTTAGAACAAATTTAAAAAGTTAAAGTACCTACTTTTATTTTACATGGCAAAGCTGATAATATAATACCCTATTCATAAGCATAAGAATTATATAGTAAATTTAATTCTTATTTAGAATCATGTAAATCTGATAAATGTGTTTTACATTTGGCTGATGATATGGATCATATTAGTTATAGATTATACAAAGACTTAATTAATCCAATTACTGAATTTTTACTTTAAATTAAATATTATCAGAATTGTTCTCAAGGACCTAAAATGCCAACAGTTCTCTTTTATGATCCTACCCTAGAATGAATCATGAAATAAACTCTTTTTATGTTAATTATCATATTTTTTAAACAAATTTTTTAATGGCTTTAAAATTAATATTTATTATTTTCAAAAATTTTATTGAAATATATCAATACCAATGGGTTGTTCATAAACTAAAGCAAGATCTGTAATATCAAAAAAGATTCCAGTATCAATTTTAAAAAAGAAAGCTGACGAAAAGTTAAATCAAACTTTATACAATTCTGAGGAAATCGAGTAAATCGGTAAAAAAATTTATGATTGTTAAAATTCTTAAATTTAACAATACAATGTATCTCAAAATCCAATTCTAAGAAGGAGATAAGGATCCATAAGTGAAAATTGATTCTTTTTAAATGTATTATTGTTACTTCTTAAAATCATATATTTTATACGTTTTTACATTAATTAAATATAATGGTTCAATATTATGTTTAATTGTTATTAGGCTTTAATAAAAATAACATCATTAATATAAATGAGTTTATATTAAATTATTAAATACTAATAAATTTATTATTAATCAATTATGAAAATTTATAATTATCTATTTAGCTTTCTGCATAAATCAAATTGTTTTTTTATTTTATTTAAAACAATAACCTCTTTTATTAAAAAATACAATTTATAATCAAAATTACTTGAGATAGATTATAAAAATTAAAGTGAAATATAAACATTTAATATATTTACATCAAAACTAATAGAATGAAGTTAGTTATTCTTTGGCCAGTTCATACGCATAAAACCCGATAGCATTAGCGTAGAATGCCCGAAAAACACAAACTGAATATCCTTTCCAAACAGAACCAAAACCCTCAGCAGATATTTTTTATATCAAACAATCATAAAATCCTCCATCATAACACCTTACTTTATAAACTTTTTAATCAGTGCAAGTTTAACATTAGAGAATAGTCTTAATTGTCTTGATTTTAATTTATTTATTTTACATCTTAAGGATATCCTATTGTCCAACATGAAACTCCAGCTAAACCTCCTGATATTAATAAATTTGCTGTTGAAGGTTCTGCTTTTTATGATAAATCACATAAAAAATTCTTAATACATTCATAAACAGCAAATTATGCTGAATATCCAAGAATTTCTCTTTATTAAGTAGCATGCATTCCTCTAAAAATATATTTAAAACCTTCTTTTTTATAAATCTAATAAATATATTTATATCAAATATACTTAGATAACACAATCAATAGGGTTTTTATAAATTTTTTCTGTTTCTTACATTTATAATTTGCATTTTGTTAATTCAATTGGACATGATAATAAAGCAGCTGAACTTCCTGCAATACTTCCACAAAATGCACTTAAATTTATTAAAAAATATATACGTCTAGAAATAAGTGAGTTATTTATTGGAATTTCCTATGAAAAATTTTCTCCAAAATTCATACACCGAAAATACAACTGCATTTGTGATTGGTATTGAGAGAATGGGAAATGACATTCCTTTATAAAAACCTTTTATTCCTTCATTTTTTATTATTTTTTATAGTGTTGTTACTACTCCATCATCTGACATTTACATTCTAACTTTCACTGTGTCTAATGGATGACTAGAAATACAATTTGCTCTATAATTTAAATAATGAATATTACATTCCACTAATTGAGCCAGCAGCTAAATCTATAGAGATTTAAAATCGATTTTCATATGTCCATTGAATAAAATCTGACATTTTAAAAATAAAAAGTATATATATACAATAATCAATTTATGTAATTCATACATTACATACGTCATTATTTATTAATCTTATTTATCAAATTACTTATTTTTATAAGAGAAACTTTATATACTATTATAAAATGTTTAATTATTTCAATTTCGTATTAAGAAGGTTACGTATTATATATTTATAATAAAATATATATGAATTTATATATTTATATTAAAATTATCATGAAGCATTAAAATATAAAAAATATTTTATTGTTGGTTATTTGAATAGAAGGGATATTAAATAAATGATAAAAGAACATTTACAAATTAAAGTTGCTAATAGAATAATTTTGCAATTTATGTACTTAATGAAGTATTAAAAACAAAATTAATTGGAATATTAATCTGTAATGCTGGAGTTAGAATTTCAAAAATGACCAATCAAGTTATAGGAATCTGATGTGGATAAACGTATTATTATTATTCAACATTTTAGGCAATTGGTATATGAAATGACATTTATAATAGAACTAGAACTATTGATTTTGATATAGGTAAGTAAATTTTTGATACACATTTCTTTTAATTATCATTGAAAAAAATTAAATGTTTTGAAGTAGAAAATTATAGAAAATGATAAAATAAATTGAAAATATCAATTTTGGTATTATTTACCGAATGAATTCATTTCCATATAATTGATATAAAGAAAACCATCTAAGTCCTTAAATTATTGATGTAATTCTTTTAAAGTTTAATCTTTAAAGTTATTATTCTTTTATACCTACTCTCAATTAAGTTTTGCCACAATATAGGTTTATTGAATCATATTATGAAATTTGTATTTTAGTTTTAATATATTGTAGTACACACATAATTGCTAAATTGTTTGACATTTTGAATCTATTTAAAAATTTAGAGATTACTTTATAAAGTTTTTTTATGGCAATTTACTTTTATTAGATTATTCAACAACTACCAATACATCATTTGGATAAAGTTATTTACAATTATCAGTTTCATTTTTTCTCTCTTCAAATGATCTTGAATTTTAAAAATTCAATATTTATTTCATCTAAATAGAAAAATATAAAATAATAAATTATATAATAATTATTATTGAGTAAATATTCTTAATAATTATATTGATTTTCATCTTCTTTATAATTTACATTATTCAATTAAAATATGCTAGATTACAGTCAAACAGTTTTTCATTTCACCTCTCAATTTAAGAACAAACTCATCTCTAAATTCCTAAATTATTAAATAATATATTGTAACTCTATCATCTCCTTTAATATAAACTCCTTCTTCTCTTCCAATACGATTTAATTTTTTCTTAATTTATTCAATTAAATAGGTTGGCACTACTAACTTTGTCTAAAATGGATTTTATTTGATTTTTCGTTTATTTGAACTTTTTCTATTGATTAGAAGTACCTAGTTGATCTAGATTTCTTAGATTTTTTATGTCTTTTATTTGATTCTGATCTGGATCTCAATCTTCTTATAGATCTGGATGATGAAGATTTCTATCTGATTAATTAATTATTTTGATCCAACATTTTTTATTTCATATCTTAAATTTGCATATTGTTTTTGAATTCTTATCCATGGTTTTCATTTATGTACTTTCCGCTTTCAAGGACCTTTTTAATTATTTTAATACAGGTCCTCCATTTTTAAAACATTCTATCTATTCCAAAATTAACACTGTAGCCTCTTATTTACGTTCTACTGATCCTATCACTTAAACCAGGCAATCTAATTATTTTTTTAATCATACATAATCCTATATCAGAATCATCTTTATCAGACATCACTTTTATTTATGCTCCTTTAGATTTATTTGCAAGTTCTTTTATTTGACATCCCTCTTGGAAAAAATTAATATTTAACATTATATACTAGCTCCTATCAATTTAGATGCAAAATTAGCTGGCATAACTACTCTTATATCAAATTCTAATTTCTTAAATTCACTACTAATCTTGTGAATTATTTATTTTATTGCTTCTTAAACATTTTTTAAAGTTCCAACTAATTGTAATATTTCTTCACCTTTTTTAAATTTATACTATTTATCATCATTTCTATCTTACTTTTATTGGAATTTCATCTATATTTTTTGCTTTCATTTTTATTTAATACTTTTTTTCTATCTCTTTATTCTTAAGAATGTAATCTATTATTACATCAAGAAAAACAAGTTAAACCTTTTTAATAATTTGAAATACCTTAGTAATAACTTTACCTGGGTCTAATGGTTCAGCCCTCTTTAGATAATCGTCTTCAGTAATTCCCCTTTGATGTAATTTATTTGTTATTAGTTTAATGGCATTATATATGCAATTTGATTCACCTAATTTATTATAAATATATCTTAACCAGCTATCTTCACTGATCTTAAGGAAAATTTATTTATAGCATTTACAACAACAATATCTGTTTTTGTCTCAAGTTGAATATTTTTAATTTACTTTCCTGATGTTCCTATTAAGTATGAAACAGTTCCTATAATTATAGAATTTTCATACCTTCAGGTATCAACATCATCATCTCAAAAACTTGATTTTTTTTTTATTCAATCAATGACAGTATTTTATTGATGGCTTCTAATTATAAATTTAATTTGCTATCATCAGATTCAATAATTGAAAATGCAGTGCCTTCTAAACCAGGAATTTAGTTATTTCGATTCAATTAAATGGATTTTATATCATATTGAGACTAAATCATTCTATTTTCATTACTTTCACATCCTCTAAAATATTTTTCAATTCATCTGATTTGATATATTTCCATTCAATAAAAAAGTCAATTTAAAATTACTTATTTCTTCTTTATTACTATTAGGGAGATTACGATCTTGATGATTACGCTGATAACCCTTATTCATCTACTTGATCTTTAGACATATAATTATAAATTAATTAATATAATTCAATATTTATTGTTTTATTACATATATTGATATTCTATCTAAAATATCCTTACTTTCCTATTTTTGAAAAAGTATTTGAAAATTTAGTTAAAAAATTAATGACGATAAAAAAGAAAGTAATTAAGACAAAAAATCAAAGTTATTTCTGAACAATAAAATAAAATAAGATTTGAATAATAATGTTCTTGATTATTACAGATAGATAAAAAAAATAGGAAATAAACAATTAAGGAAAATTATTAAGTTATCAAATAAAGAAATGCATTAATATATTGGGAATTAAATTTTGTATTTAATAAATAATATTTTAGAAAAATAAATTTTATGAGTAGTTTTTATAATAAAATTAAAGAAAGGCATAAGATCAAAGAGATTTATAAAAAAAAACTTCACATTAAGAAAAAATAAAATTATTTGATTAATCCTAAGAAGAACAGATGAATAAATTATTTTAACAACTTAATGTAAATTATAGATAAGGAATAAAATTAATAGTCTCAATCAAATTAACAATTTAAAATTTAGTTTTTAAGAAAAAAATAACATTGCAAAAAAAGGTCCAAAAATTTTTTATTTCATTTTAAGAAAGAAATTAATTATAATATAATTTATGCATATTTATTTGAAAAGTATGAAGTATCAAAATTTATTTGAGAATTCATTCTTTTAATAAATTGATTAAATTCAAAAATAGTAGAAATAATAAAATTAAACATAAAATAAATAATGAAAAATTATTATTTAAATCAATAATCTATTTAATAAATTTTTATATTAAAACCATCAAAAGAATCGAACATAAAATTATTTAGAAATTTGATTATTATATTTTCTATTTTTAGAAAATATTAATAAATCTAGATAATTTAATTTCATAATTAAAAGAATTATAAATATCTAATGTAATATTAAAATGAATCAGAACAATTGAATAGAAAATAATAATTATTGAGAAAAGAAATATATGATAAAGGATATGATTGTTAAGCTTTTTAAGATTATATGGAATAAATAAAAGTAAACGGTATTATTTATTTATTTATAATTTAGGAGGATAGGATGTTAATATATGGACTTATCATGAACTTTAGGAGGCAATAAATTTATTTTAGACGACAAATCAATCATAAATGTAAATTATCGACCTAGATATTGTATCTTACAGATAATCAGAAATTGATGACAATAATTAATTGGAAATTTAGATTTAAGAGAAATAATAATAGCATTAAATAAAAGAAGAGTAATTGCAGCAGAATTTAAACTAATAATTATAAATTTCATAAAATGAATCACATGAAGAAATAGTGGTTAAACCATTAATAGATAATGATCGATTTTACTAAAAACTCTATTAATGCCAGTTATAAGATAAAAAAATGTTGCTTATGGCTAAAGAATTAAATGTGTATATTACTAAATTTGAAAAAATTCAAGGTGGTTTACTTTCAGCATCTTATTATAATTATATAGTTAATACAGAATGTATTGGATGGAATGTATAAAGAAGATATAATGATTTCATTTGGCTAAAAGAAATTTTAAGTAAAATATACCCAGGTCGATATGTATTATAATTTTTTAAGTAGATTCCTCCTTTACCTAAAAAAACTGTATTGAAAAATGATTAAGAGCTTAACTTATTAAAGAGAATGAAATTCTTAGAAGTATCGATCTATAATTATTATAGAAATTTCTTTAATATTTGTTTCAATATGAATTAATAAGATATGATAAATGGTTCTAAGCTTTTTTATCAATAAAGGAAGAAAAAGATTTTAAACATATATAAAAATTAAGTACTTAAATATCAAGAGTGACAAAATTAGAATAGATTATTTCTCTAGATGGATATATTTAATTATAATTAAATGATAATTTAACTACATATAATAATGAATCGACTTTTTTATTAAGCTCAATAGAGATTAATTATAAAAAATTAAGAAAAGATTCTAAATAATTAATATTAGATTTTGATCAATTATCAAATACTATTTATAATATGGGGAAAACCTGTACTGAATTGTATTAATTTTCAAATAAGTTTAATTAATCAATTTCTTAAGGAAAATTTTCAAAATTAGATATTCTTTATATATCAATGAATAATATGTTAGTTTAATGGGGAAATAATTTAACTGCTTAAATTAAAATTGTTTAAGAAGAACTTTGTTTTTTTTTTAAATTTCATCATCATTCAATAAACTCCTTAAAAGAAGTAACTAAAATTATCAAAAATAGTTTATAAAATAAAAAGAAAATGCACATTAAGAATATGAAAAATTTAAATCAAGATTGGAGTTAAAAAAAAATAAACTATTCACGTAATAAGACTTTAATAGATGGGAAATACCATCTATATAGATCAAAGCCTTATTGGATAGTAATTTAACTTAAAATAGAGAAGTTTGTTAAGCAGTAATGCTGCCATAAGAAACTACTTTACAGGAAGAGTTAAAGAACATTTTTGCTTTTTATAATTATTAATAATTTTCAGAAATAAGTAATCATCTTGAAAATACAGTATCAGATTTCTCAGAAAAATTTATCAAGTTTTGCAATTTATAAAAAAAAATAATTGATGAGGTATTATATACACATATTAATTTAGCAAAAACTAGTATGGGAGAAGAGTAAAATTAATTTTAATAATTTACACAAGTAGTAATAAATTTTGTTAAAGAAAACTTGATTATATATTAAAATTATCTATTTTATAGAACATGAAATTGTTTAAAATAATGAAATAAATTTCAATTCCAAATATCATCATCATTTAAAAAATGAGTTAACATTTTTAATGAAGCAATAGGTATATTATTTGGAGCCATATGTCCTGCATTATAAATTGTTGCATAATAGAAATTTTTATATTTTTTAATTGTTCCTGCTGTTTCTTCAATATCATAACCTTCTCGTTTAGCTTTAAATGTTTATTTTTGTTATTTTTTCCATTCATAGATATCTTTCCAATCTAATTAATTTACCACATAATTTATAGATGGTGTATTACAAATAATATCTCTAGATCCTTGATAAATCATTACTTTTTTTCCTTTATTTAATAGAAATTCTACATTGTGTTTTTGAGAAACTGATATATCAATAAAAAAATTTTATTCAACTTAACCATTACATGGAGAGTAAAAAATATCATCAGGAGCTCCAAATTATTTTTTATACTAATTTATAAATCCACTATACATATCTTCTGGTTATTCTTGATTTAAATAATCTTAATAGTCATATGGACTAACTTTTCCTGTAAAAACAGAAAGAATAATAAATATTCCTGCAAAACCATCAGTAGTTGACATTTAATATTATTAATTTAAAACATCTTCTTATGCTTTAGCCATTTAATTTTCAGTTAATTTTCTTTTTTTTTCATTGAAAATACCTAAAGAATAAAGCATAGGAGCATAACTTTAATATTATAAAAGTGCATCTGTCCATCCATTTCCAAATGCTATCCCTTAAAAATTCATTTCTAAATTTGATTTTGCTAATGCAGCTCCTACTGCTGGAACATAATGACCACCAAAACTTACACCAAATACATAAAATTTAGTTTATTTAAATTGAGGTCTATATTCAAAAAATATTCTAAAAAATTCCACTAAGTATAATCCAGCTAAATCTGAACTGTCTACATTTAAATTTGGATTTGAATAACTCAATCCTACATCAAAAGGTTAATCAATAAAAATAACATGAGCTACTTTATTCCATGTATTTTCTCCTTTCTTAATTGAGTAATCATTATCACCTTTTTTATATACATGATATGGCCCTACATTTTAGAAAATATGCATTAAAGATGCACATCCTGGTCCACCATTTAACCATAATATAAAATTATCATCTTTTTTAACATCTGCTATTTCTTAAGTACCTTCTTTTAAAAATAAATGATAAAAGAATTGATTATTTCCATTTTCTTAATCATTAACACCAATATATCCTGTTTCAGAATAAAAATCTGTTAAAGGTTCTAATTATTTATAGAAATCTTAAGAATAAAATTATTTTCATACTCTTTTAATCTATAAACGTAAAGGATTCAAATGAGAAACCTATTAGAAGAGTTAATAAAATCATAAGTTTTCCCATTTTATAAAAAATAATTAAATTATAAATCCGATGACTTCATCGATTATTTGTTTAGAATAAATAAAGAAATTAATATTACAATATGCCATATTGTGCATATTTATTTTAGCAGCTTTAACTATATAAATGAAATTAAACCAACATAAATTTAAATCAAATTCTTAAATCTAACTTATTATAATTACTTCCATAAAAATTTCCATAAACAAGTATATCATTTTCCTTATCTAAACTATAACAGTGCACCTAATTTTGCAAGGGTATTGTCTTCAAGATAATACCTGTTTGATGATCAAATAACTTTATATCGATATAATTAATTAAAAGTAAAGCTCTATCATTTAAACAAAATTAAGCTTCTTAATATTCTCCATCAAATTACAGTACTCTCAAAATTTTTTATTTATTTAAACTAATCATTTTTATTTTATTATCTATTAATACTAGAACCTTCTCGTTTTTCATTAAATTTTATTTTATTCCACATATTTCTTAAGCTCTTTCATTGATTCTATTTGTACAATAGAAAACTTTTCTATTATGTAGGTTATAAAATAATGAATATCCTTCAGAGCTAATTGTTGTGAAGAATTTTTAGTTATGAAATAATGTCAAATGTTATATTTTTCCTTTCAACTAATTAATTTAATGTAACACTTGAAAAGTTTCCAAATCCCATATAAATATCATTTCATCATGGCTACAAGTGATTAATTTTTTCCCTTATTCATAGAATACTAAGCCTCTTATTTAGTTAAAATGTGCTGGAGAGCTTTAAAATATTCTCTATATTTTCTAATTTACAATTTGTAAAATCAAAATTGAATTATCTTCTGAGTCTACTGCAATTTTAGATGTCTCTTCATCAAAAGCAAATGTGTAAACCAATATTTATTTTTGCTCATATGATAATTTTTCATTCGTTTTTCTATTGAAAAATAAAAGCTGATCAGTATTACAAACTACAATAAAATTATTAGTTAAAGAGATACAAGTTATTTAAAGTTCCTAATTCATTTTAATTAAAAAAATTAATAAATAAGTCTTATTAATGAAAAAAAGATTAAAGTTGATTTTTGATTAGTATTTAATTTTTTGAATGAAAATATTGAATTAATTTTATAACTTTATTTATGCAAGTTGGCAAAATCAAATAAAACCAACGTCGATAAATAAATTGATTAATTAAATTCAATAACTTCATTCAAAAAATTAAATTAATAATTAAAAATCAATTTTAATCTTTTTTTCATTTATAATACAATGAAAATAAAAAGAGATCTATTGAGAATAACTTATCTATTATTTTAAATTATTTATAATAATTTATTTAAATTGATTATGATATATAAATATATATTTTTTTTTAATATATCGTAAGGATTTTTTATTATAAAGATTATTAAAAAGGTTTAAAATTAGAATCGAAATAAGAGGTATAGATAACGATGGAATTGTAAGTTTATGAGATTTTTTATTCTTGTATGAAAAAAAAATAATAAAGTTATGATTTAGATTGTTTATTAATGATATATCATTATTTCTTAGGCAACNCTTAATATTCTCCATCAAATTACAGTACTCTCAAAATTTTTTATTTATTTAAACTAATCATTTTTATTTTATTATCTATTAATACTAGAACCTTCTCGTTTTTCATTAAATTTTATTTTATTCCACATATTTCTTAAGCTCTTTCATTGATTCTATTTGTACAATAGAAAACTTTTCTATTATGTAGGTTATAAAATAATGAATATCCTTCAGAGCTAATTGTTGTGAAGAATTTTTAGTTATGAAATAATGTCAAATGTTATATTTTTCCTTTCAACTAATTAATTTAATGTAACACTTGAAAAGTTTCCAAATCCCATATAAATATCATTTCATCATGGCTACAAGTGATTAATTTTTTCCCTTATTCATAGAATACTAAGCCTCTTATTTAGTTAAAATGTGCTGGAGAGCTTTAAAATATTCTCTATATTTTCTAATTTACAATTTGTAAAATCAAAATTGAATTATCTTCTGAGTCTACTGCAATTTTAGATGTCTCTTCATCAAAAGCAAATGTGTAAACCAATATTTATTTTTGCTCATATGATAATTTTTCATTCGTTTTTCTATTGAAAAATAAAAGCTGATCAGTATTACAAACTACAATAAAATTATTAGTTAAAGAGATACAAGTTATTTAAAGTTCCTAATTCATTTTAATTAAAAAAATTAATAAATAAGTCTTATTAATGAAAAAAAGATTAAAGTTGATTTTTGATTAGTATTTAATTTTTTGAATGAAAATATTGAATTAATTTTATAACTTTATTTATGCAAGTTGGCAAAATCAAATAAAACCAACGTCGATAAATAAATTGATTAATTAAATTCAATAACTTCATTCAAAAAATTAAATTAATAATTAAAAATCAATTTTAATCTTTTTTTCATTTATAATACAATGAAAATAAAAAGAGATCTATTGAGAATAACTTATCTATTATTTTAAATTATTTATAATAATTTATTTAAATTGATTATGATATATAAATATATATTTTTTTTTAATATATCGTAAGGATTTTTTATTATAAAGATTATTAAAAAGGTTTAAAATTAGAATCGAAATAAGAGGTATAGATAACGATGGAATTGTAAGTTTATGAGATTTTTTATTCTTGTATGAAAAAAAAATAATAAAGTTATGATTTAGATTGTTTATTAATGATATATCATTATTTCTTAGGCAACAATCCTACATATACACTTCTATAAAATTCAGAAGCTAAGGAAGCACCAGAAAATGGGCCAAAAATATAAATCCATATATTAATCAATCTATCCCAATTGCCATCTTATAAAGACTCAAAGATTCCCAATCCTACGCCCATAGCTGGATTTAAACAACCTTTTATGATAGTAAAACATACCTCCTGTGTGATAAGTGAGAATTCTTCCAAAGTATAAAGCAGTGGCAATAATTCCAATACCTATTAGATTATTATCTGTTAATTAAGTTTAAGGATGTACTTAGATATGAATGAATAAACAAAAAATAAAAGTTCCAAGTGCCTAAATAATGTATAAACGTACTTCTCCACAAAAATCTGCTATCATCCATTCAATTGGTTAAGTTTCTATATAGGGAGATGTAACTCTTCCAACAATTACAAATGCTGCTAAAGCACCTGCAATTGCTCCACCTACTTAAGCTGCCCAATATACTCTCATTGTAAATGCACTAATTTCATTAGAACTATAAAAGGACATTGAAACAGCTGGATTTACATGTCCACCTGTAATTTTACCAATTAAAAATATTGCACCAAATAAATATACACTTAACATTACATCATTTCCTCTAGAACAAACTATACCATAAGCAAAAAATGCTGTTCCTAATGCTTCCCATATTAATATTCTCATTAATTCACTATAAGGTTTATCATCAATTGTATTCTTTAATTTACTTTCCAATATTTCTATCTTTTTTAATAATTCTTCTTTTTATGAATCCTAAACTTCAATTTAATGATCATCAGAAGAAGGAAGATACTATTATTTTTACTTTTAATATTGTAAAGCATATGACTAAGTTTCCTCTTCATTCTTTTACAATAATTAATCTTATGACATTTATTAATAAAAAAAAAAATAAATAAATTATTTATTTGTTAAAACATACAAACTCAAATCATTGTTCTAAAATTCTCTGTATTAAATTTTCTATTAGAATATTCTTCTATTTATTTTTCTTCTTATTCACTTAAACTTTAATATAAACGTTTCCTGCAATATACCAAGATTATCAACAATATCAAAATTATTATTATTAATATTATTCCAAATATTATAATAATTGTTTGATCTTCTTCATAAATTATAATACCAACTCCTTCAAAACTGAAATTAGCTTAAAGAGAACAAAATTTAAATTGACTTTGAGATTGATTTTATAATGATGGACAAAGAGTAGAATTTAAAATCAATGAATAATACTAAATTTATTTATAGAATTACTTCTATTCTTTATTCAAAAGCAGTACAAATAACCCAAGGAGCAATTAATCTTAATCTAATTAAACTAACTTCATTTTCTGATACTCCTACTAAGTAAGTTTATAAATAGGTCAAATTCACATTGCTCAAAATGCCATCTTCAAATGCTTAACCTGTGTATAATTGTTATTTCCAAGGAGGAATCAATTCATCCACTTAAATTATATCTATATCAGAGAAATAAAATTATTCATGTTAAGCATCAAAATCTTTATAAACAGAATGATATATCACTTAATGCAAATGATCAGAACCAACAAATAATACAAACATATCACCAACATAAACATCATATACATCTTATCCAAATTAATGAATTTTATTCAAATAATATTGTTTATTTTTAAAATCTATAAATACTTCTAAAGCATATTATAATTAATCTTCAGTTTAAGCTAAAATAAACATTGTATTCTTGTGAAAATCAAAAGTATCTCCTCCTTTTAAATAAATATGCATTTCATTTTCTTTAAATTTTTAATTAACTTTATCGAAATCATAAATATGAACACCCAAATTTTCATCTAAGATGTAAAGATAATTTGAGGTTTCATCCATTTTTGATTATCTTAAGTTTAGATTCTTAGAAGGTTCAATAGTTGTTAAAAAGTACAAATAGCCTTCTTGGTTCATTTTATAAATATCAACACCAGTGTGGGGATAAGTTATTAAAAGTAAATTATTTACATCACTAAAAAAAAAGTGATTTATTGAATCATTTTTTAGATTAAATAATTTAGTTATTGATATCATTTTTTCCCTTAATATTTTAAATAATAATTTACTAAACTTAATTATAAGAGAATTATATAATTCCATGTTCACTTATTATAAAACATAATATTTGACCTCCTTATTTTAAGTATTAACTACATAATAGTTTTGCATTAAACATCTATGAATTATCATTAACATTATTAAAATATATAGTCAAATTGATTATTTAATATTATGAGAAGTCTAAAATATCCTTATTCTATTTATCGTAATTTATTTTCATAATAAATAATTGAAAGTCACTTCTCAGAACAAATACAAAATAGTTTGCAGCATAAACAGATATAATTGTTCCTTTAAGTGAGTCTGGTGTTTCAGATGGCAAACTAGGTATGATGCTTTATAATTGTGATTATGCAATTTTTCTTGAATAAGGATGGCATCCTTCATTGAATTGACCATCTATTGATTATGCCATAGGAATCTCTTTTTAGCTCTCTTAAACTAAAGACATAGAATAAGTGCCATAATAACTAATTATCTTAAAAAATACTTTGAATATTAAATTAAAATCGATTAGTTTAAATTAGCCATGTATTTGTAATCTTCTAAAGTTTCATATACAATATCTATCTTCGGATTCATAAATCGGCTTGATTTACTACCAAACACTTGACACACTAGAAATATAATATAAATCATAAACATAAATTATAATAATTTACTTCCTTAAGCGTTCCTTATCTTGAATTATCTCAGAATATATTTTTTAAATATTTGTTCTTTTATCAATAAGCAAAAATATTGATTTCAATTCAACATATTTTTTTTAAAATCAAAAAGATGTATCAAACTTGAATATTTATATTTATTAAAACTTATACTTAATATATTATTTTCTTCATTTTTAATATCTAAAGATAACAAGCGAATTTAGAATATTNCCCAAGGAGCAATTAATCTTAATCTAATTAAACTAACTTCATTTTCTGATACTCCTACTAAGTAAGTTTATAAATAGGTCAAATTCACATTGCTCAAAATGCCATCTTCAAATGCTTAACCTGTGTATAATTGTTATTTCCAAGGAGGAATCAATTCATCCACTTAAATTATATCTATATCAGAGAAATAAAATTATTCATGTTAAGCATCAAAATCTTTATAAACAGAATGATATATCACTTAATGCAAATGATCAGAACCAACAAATAATACAAACATATCACCAACATAAACATCATATACATCTTATCCAAATTAATGAATTTTATTCAAATAATATTGTTTATTTTTAAAATCTATAAATACTTCTAAAGCATATTATAATTAATCTTCAGTTTAAGCTAAAATAAACATTGTATTCTTGTGAAAATCAAAAGTATCTCCTCCTTTTAAATAAATATGCATTTCATTTTCTTTAAATTTTTAATTAACTTTATCGAAATCATAAATATGAACACCCAAATTTTCATCTAAGATGTAAAGATAATTTGAGGTTTCATCCATTTTTGATTATCTTAAGTTTAGATTCTTAGAAGGTTCAATAGTTGTTAAAAAGTACAAATAGCCTTCTTGGTTCATTTTATAAATATCAACACCAGTGTGGGGATAAGTTATTAAAAGTAAATTATTTACATCACTAAAAAAAAAGTGATTTATTGAATCATTTTTTAGATTAAATAATTTAGTTATTGATATCATTTTTTCCCTTAATATTTTAAATAATAATTTACTAAACTTAATTATAAGAGAATTATATAATTCCATGTTCACTTATTATAAAACATAATATTTGACCTCCTTATTTTAAGTATTAACTACATAATAGTTTTGCATTAAACATCTATGAATTATCATTAACATTATTAAAATATATAGTCAAATTGATTATTTAATATTATGAGAAGTCTAAAATATCCTTATTCTATTTATCGTAATTTATTTTCATAATAAATAATTGAAAGTCACTTCTCAGAACAAATACAAAATAGTTTGCAGCATAAACAGATATAATTGTTCCTTTAAGTGAGTCTGGTGTTTCAGATGGCAAACTAGGTATGATGCTTTATAATTGTGATTATGCAATTTTTCTTGAATAAGGATGGCATCCTTCATTGAATTGACCATCTATTGATTATGCCATAGGAATCTCTTTTTAGCTCTCTTAAACTAAAGACATAGAATAAGTGCCATAATAACTAATTATCTTAAAAAATACTTTGAATATTAAATTAAAATCGATTAGTTTAAATTAGCCATGTATTTGTAATCTTCTAAAGTTTCATATACAATATCTATCTTCGGATTCATAAATCGGCTTGATTTACTACCAAACACTTGACACACTAGAAATATAATATAAATCATAAACATAAATTATAATAATTTACTTCCTTAAGCGTTCCTTATCTTGAATTATCTCAGAATATATTTTTTAAATATTTGTTCTTTTATCAATAAGCAAAAATATTGATTTCAATTCAACATATTTTTTTTAAAATCAAAAAGATGTATCAAACTTGAATATTTATATTTATTAAAACTTATACTTAATATATTATTTTCTTCATTTTTAATATCTAAAGATAACAAGCGAATTTAGAATATACTTCTAATGGAATTTAAAATGAATTTAGAACATATAGATTCTATATTTGAAATTTTATAAGTTAGGGTACCTGAGAAAGATTTTCTCAAATTATAATTTTTATAATTATTAGTTAATTCTAAAATTAAATTTTCGATAAGAAAATCTTGGAGAAATCTTATGTATTAATAATTAACTCTATTTTCTATGAAATAATAAGGAATTGAAAAACAAAAAAAACTCTTTTTATTAATTCTATCTAGAAGAAGACTATTTTATTTTTTGAAATGCTAATTTAATACATAAGTTAAATTATTTTCATGTTAATTTAAACTTTTTAATTCAATTAACGTATTTAGGGGTTCTTGGTCTAGCTTAAGGAACATTTTTTTTTTCTTAGGACTTTAGAATTTAGAATGAACACATCAATGTCTCATCAACACTCATTAATGCCCCTATTCTTTTATCCTTTTTTATTACCTGAATTATCAAATTCACCACAATAATTGGGAGCTGAAAATAAGGTTACTAGTTATCTTTTTGCAAAAAATTCATAACCTTCTTCGACTACTTAATGTGCTCTGCAAACTAAATCCATATCATTTTTCTTTAAGAAATTTGCTATAACATCAGGTCCAAATATATATGATACTCCTCTTTCATTATCTATTTATAATAAAATAATAATCTTACCTTACCAACCTTAAATTTCTTTATCTGGATCTGACCATAATAAATCGCAAAGTAATCCTGTATCAGGTACTTCAATTGGTCTCATAATTCTGTGGATTTATTCTAAATTTGTTAATTCAGGTGATAATCCTCCATGCATGCATATAATTTTTTCATCTATTACTGCACATACAGGTAAACAATTGAAACAATCAGTAAATGTTTTCCATAATTTTATATTATACCTTCTTTTACATTCGTCATAAAATCCATAAATACGGTTTATTTGTGAGCATTCATGATTACCCCTTAATAAAAAGAAATTCTCTGGATATTTTATTTTATAAGCAAGTAATAAACATATGGTTTCAAGAGATTATCTTCCTCTGTCAACATAATCACCTAAAAATAAATAATTGGCCTCAGGTGGATAACCACCATATTCAAACAATCTTAATAAATCAGTATATTATCCATGAATATCACCTAACATATCAAATATCTTGTACCACAAATTTTTATTGGAGCCTCTAATTCCAATAACATTGGTTAACTTAAAAAAATTTCTCTACTTTTTATACATAATGAACGTATTTCATTCTCTGTCAGATTTACAGCCTTTCCTGATTTAGCTCCTTTACTTTCTAAGAGTTTTTCAATGATCTTTATATGTTTAAAAACTTACTTTATCAACATCTATATCCATTATTATTAATATTTATATGAAATATATTCATAAAATCAAGAATTTCTTTTATATATCAAATAATATTATAATTATAAATAATAATACTGTATTTTTTTAGAAATCTTAAATTTCAATATCCAATATTCAAACTTAATAATCCATTTTTTAATTTAAATAATCTAAATTTATATAGAAATATTTATACAAAATACTTTAGAAAACGATAATTTTATTACATTTTATACAAATTTAAATATCTATTATAGTTTTTATTAATAATTATTTTTCATATCTAATTATTAACAAAGTCAAATTAAAATTGATTAAATCCAACAGTTTTTATCCTTTACACATTGAACAAACTATTTAATAAGGTAGCATCTATTAAAATAAGAAATCATTGGAATTAATGAACCTAATGTTATAATTAAAATCATTTTCTAATTTTCTCAAACAGAATTTAAAATCGAAATAATTACCAAAATTGTCACAAAAAAAACTAAGCAAAAATTTTATTTGATAACAACATGTGTAAAAAAAAATATTGATGTATGTGATAATAATACTTTAATCTTGTAATAGAAAAAATTAATAATCCATTTTGAAGATAAATATGCACAAATTTCTAGGAAATAACTAAAACTCTAAGAAATTTGGTTTTGTGATTTTGATAATTAAAATTCAATCAAAGGCAACCTTATTG